CTTTGTCCCATAGCCACCGTGGCAGTCAAAACAGTAGACACATCGCAACTGTAAGCGATTCTTGTATATGAATATTGAATACTTCTTTACTTATCAAGATGTCGATAGTAATGCTAGTAGGGGCTGCTCTAGAAACAAATTATGCTGATCTCATTGGAGAGATCCAAATCGGTGTTAATGGAACGATTTTTGGTAATAAGAATTAAGGTCTATTCAATTTTAAGTCTTCGACTATTAAAACTAAAAGAAAATTCATGATGATTATGTATGTGATCGTTCATATTTATAACGAAGTAGTCAGATCTTTGCCGAGAGGTTCATTTCATCATGTCTCTTTGATATGATTATGTACCTCTATGGAGCTCGGTAAATGTTATGAGGCATCGATGAGTGTGACTATAAATCAACGAGGTACAGACAGCCATCGCGGGCACGCGGTGTAACATGACCCAGTCATATTAGTCAATAGGTAGGCCAGTCACAAGCTAACGACACACTTCGGAGCCAGTCGTGAATGTATCGATTGACATCGATGGAAACGGAGCCGGGTCGGTGTCGATGTATCTACCTTGGGAATGGGCCCTAACATGCGAGCATTAGCTCTGCCAGGCTGTTATAGTGCAGCGAGCAAATTGATGGTTTTCATTTGACGGGGTCGCACGAACAAGCACAAAAGCTATATCAGTAACGACCGTGAAAGTTAACGTTTCTGACCCGGAGATACAATATCCTACGGTGCACAGAGGTGAAAGTTTGTGACACTGACTAATCGATGTGGTATATAGCTCGACCATTTTTGTGGATTTCAGTGTCGCATGGCGTTAACATAAAACACAAGAATTGAAGACCAGCCTGTGTGCCGGCTTAAATTACAACAGAGCAGTTTCTTTTTGCATTAAAGAAATTGTAGATAAACCGGTCTGTACGACCGACACGGGCAGTGGTTTTTGAATTTTGATAAGACAAGATTACCAGGCGCGAATGATCGACATGGAGCTATCGACTTTGGCAATGTCGTCGGTGTGGCAACAGCGCAGATATTACGTAATGTGAGGGACGCGGGGAGAGAGCGGCATCGCGGGTTACTGACCTGTATGGTCCGACGGTGCCAATTCGCCCATCACATCACATCACGAAATCTTCATTGCACAAACACGATGCAACGTCGACTTGTGAACAAAAACAAGCGATCCTTCGCGCTGGATTTGCAAATGATGTCAAGGCGTATAATGTTCCTCGGCTTCATATGTACTTACAATGTAAGTGATCGTTCACACATCACCAATATGTCGCAGTCACAATTTGTTTCAACATCTCAATAGGGTATAATGTCGAAAATCAAAAAAAAATGTAAATAAAATAAAAACGGAGAATAGAAACTTGGATGTATCTTTAAAACAAAGTAAGTCGGGAAATGTGAATAGAATAATACAACACGTTCCTTAGAGACCATCGCAATATCCGAGAGTTTCATTTCTGTTTTTCCAACTTTAGTAAAAATCTAATGCGCAAGAGCAAAATATGTGAAGCATTTTTTGACGCAGCCATCCGCAAAATAGCCAGTAAAGGTCCGCCGAGTGGCAACGTCGCTCCGGCAATAAGATAATCGTGACATTCAATTGTCGGACCCATTTATTTATTCATGTTGACGACGAATGCCGCGAACAGTGCAAGCAAATACTTGCAATGATAAAACCTAAAATAGTACCAACTAGTTCGGGGCATAAGATCGCACCGTCATTATACAACTGGTAGAGATTTACATCGACATTGTGTGGCTTATCTTGGCAATCTCTCCAGGCGGTGTTCAGTTGAGTTGACACATCAAAAACAAGATTTGGTGCTGTGCCTCAATTCTTGTTACTGACAAAAAGTGGTCATGCCGTTGCGGGCCTCGGTAAGCAACCATCATCGCGATGCCAAATTTGGCACAAGCGCGACTTGGCAACGTCGTACCAGCCGCTCGCTAAATGCACGTAGCCACTTTGCTCCACGTAAACAAACACTATTGCGTCACTCGTTGATACACACAAAAATATACCTAAACACTAGCTGCGTAAAGTCTTATATCGGTTGAATAACGTTATAGTTCTGATTAAATTGTTATTCACGAAATTTTTGATATGAAAAAATAATTTAGTACTAGGTTTTGCTCCATAAAAATACGTGTTTTGACTGTGCTAACGAGGTCGCTCTGTTTAACTATAAAGTTAATAGATGTGCCTACTTAGTACAGCAGCGGCGCCATGTTACCTAAACAAACATTAAAAAGGCTGCTATACCAATAATACACGTAGCATTGTGTAATTATTTACGTTAGAGCAGGTATAAGGACAAATGTAATAACAGGGATATCCAATCTGGGTTCCAGGCATTGTTTTCCCTAGGAGTTTAACTGTAGAAAAGGGTCGGGGCTCGACAATTTGAGTGGACAATAAATTAATTCTTGAAAGGCAAGTCCATGTGACATTTTCTCTCCAGTAAGTCGGTGTTGTGTATTCCCGCGACGACCCGGTTCACGTTGTGCTATCACGGGGCCTCGCCTCCCATCCACGTGCCGGCCCCGCCGCGTCGCTTACGCAAACATTTCTATTATTTTTCACCTCTGAATACCGCGACTGTTTTTCAGTTAAAACGTAATTGAATCATAAAAATCAACGTGGTCATTCACGCAAATTGAAAATTTATTAATTGGTTTGTCAATTAGCAACTCGTTGAATAATTCAATGTTACGTAACTAATAACTGCATTTAGTGAATTAAGAAGAGTGTTCCATGACATGTTGACATACGAGTGTCTGCATTGATGCAGTGAACTTTGATTTGAATTAAGTGCGGTTGAGAACTCATTGTTTAGCAACACGCGAGGCAGGAGTGTGTTGATCACATGACAGAATGAAATGAGATTCAATGTGGGTCGCAAACAAAGATGCATTCACCAAACAAAAGCTTTGCTGCAAATTGTGAACGGTAATTTGCACTGAATGTCGTAAGTCATTGCGATTTTACCTAATATTTACAGCACTGAAATCTTCGTAATACAATTCTATTTAGTCTTTTGTAGGTATGTATTGTAGACTTTATTAACAATTTAGAACTTTCTTGTCGTCAGACGAATTCCTGATGACTCGGTATTTCTCTTGCAAGTAAGTTAATACTTTGCTTAAACACACAATATAAAGGACTGCAAACCAATTTCGGTTGCGTCGAGTTACAAGCCGCATGCCGGGCGATACTTTCAAAAGTGCCCCAGATGTTGATTAACGGTAAAAAGACCATCTCGCGACAGATGCGCCACTGCATATTGTGGAGTTCGCAACCGTGAGGGGTGTGTTAAAATTACCGCCAGCTGTTTTATGAAAATTGTTGAGCACTGGAATTGTTCTTAAAGAATGAGTCATTAAAACCCCGTCGCGCATGCGTTAAAATTAACGAAACTTGCAGCCTTCATCTAGATTTATAATGAAGGTCCCTTCCGAGTATGTTCCCTAAATGATTTCCTCCAACCCAGCTGTTTGTTATTGGAGTAAACACGGATAATTTCTCTCGGGAAATCATTTCAGTTATGAAATACTTTGTCACAGACCAAATTACAGTAACAACAATCTGGAACCGAGAATTGATTATAGTTTAAGGAGTGAATTTCCAGTTCAGTTAGTAACTGAAGTGTATTTGGCAAAAGTGGTTGGCGGGCGTAGAGTAAATGATAGGAGAGTACATAAGGCTGTGATTACAGTACACGACCGCTATAACCATGAATTTACATGAAAATACGTACGGTTGAAACACCGCACCCTCGTTTGCGGAGCGAGTGTTGACGCGATTACATATTCATCAGATGGCTCTCTGCGTCACGCAAAATTAACTTCACATGACTCCTTGATGTGACATTCGCGTTTGTACCGCCTTGTATCAATTTTGATATATTCTACAAAGGCAAGTGGTTACGAGATATGCTATCTAACATTCATATATTCATGTTATGAACTAAATCGTTGTAGCCGAAATATTAACTCGATCAGTGGAACAATAATACAATTTAGGGTGAACTTTTTTGTGAAGGATATACAATCTCTTTTCAGAGTAAGACTTACTTTAGTCAAGTTTTGTGATAGTTATGTAAATATATCCGAAGTGTATAATACTAAAACTTTCATAATGTCTACAGTCGATCTAAGTACAAAGGGATTTCTTTCCTTGTAACCAAGGCGACATTCAACAAGCATTATAAATATTTCGAAACCTTATTCCAAAAACCAGTTTGCCTCATATTACGTTGTAACATTATCTAATTAGGTATATTGTGGAAAACCTAAAATATCGAAATGTTATCCTGTATCGATAAAACCAGTTGTTTATCAATAACTGGTAGAGGTGACTTAGCACTGGTTTAATGTTGTTACATGGACATTAAATGTTGAAATACTACAAGTAACCTTTCCTACGCAAATATGAGTCGTGTGTTACAATATTATAATATGGAATTTTCCGTCAATCGAAATCTTCCTCGTAGTGGAGAAAGTGTTAATTCTTTGCTTTCCCGGCACGTTGTGTTCTCACATTTTCCCCAAGACAAAGAGAGTGCCAAAGCGATATATTGTATAAAGTTCAATTATCGCAGAATGCATTTTAAACAGCAGTACAATTACCATTATTCCTTTTACTCGTGTCTTATGCTAGGTGACTAAAACTTCATATCAGTAGGTAACAAGTAAAAATTCAAGAACAAGTTGCAGTAACATTGACATTTACTTGCCGAAATAATTAGTTAATTGAACTATCATTTAACGATAGCTAGTAACTTGTAATTATTATCAAAAACGACAAATATAAAAGGAGTGTTAAGGCAATTCTAGCATACACGATGAAACGGTGTCGTTGTTATCAAGATGATTCAATCACTCATATCAAGTGACGAACGTGCAGTATATGACTTTAAAACGGAGTCACCAGACAGTTAAATATTTCTATTGTTCGTGGTGTTGAGTTCTCAGTTCTCACCTTGTAGCCGCTGTTGTCAAGCTGTGCGTGTGGTATTCCGTTATGGTGTTGCGTTTGTGTGGGGCTCAGTAAGCGGCGCTTCTTAGCTGGCTGCTGAAAGGCCGGCGATGCTGCCGGCTGGTACTCTGGCTGCGGGCACTGGGGCTGACTGCTGTGGTATTGCGACGCCGACTCCGGGTACATGACATGCATTCCCTACCAACAAGTGAAATACACGTTATACATCGGAACACGAACAACAATACGATAAACACTCAAATGGCAGATCACCATCTTAATTGATGACATAAATATACAATAAAAACTTAAACTGAGAAGGTATTAATGACGACATTTATGAAATACTGATAATGAAACTTCAATATTAAAAGTAAAGTGACCAGAAATTAAAGGCGCCGCACGAGACACCGGTGTCGCCGCAAATTTAATATTTTTCGGCTTTTACAGCCAAGTAATTTCGCAGAAAGCGTCGTAAAAATCGAGTTTTCATTTGCTAAGAGCCACTATTACCGTGAAGCATGTCTCCGTTTCGTGGAGTCGACCCGTAAAGGCCGCGACGTGGAAACCGGCGCAACGACGCTTACACGAAGACGACTCATTCATTAACAAATTGAGGAGAGTTTCCTAAACATGATACTAGGCTAATGGCATTAAAAATAAAGACGAAAACATAGGAGTGTCGCCATTTATCTTCCCAATAACTTCTATTATGATATTAATTTGCGCTAACGACAAGACGAAAGAAATACGAGTGAAGCAAAACAATCTAGATTTACAATGAAACCCGATTCTCCTTGAACAGTCGAGACAGAGTTGAGCCGCCTCAACTGAACGTGAAATCCGCTTATTACAATAAAATCTCAGACGCAAGCTTACAAGGTTTCCCTAAGTATAGCAAAGGTTTGTACTTGTACCGTATTATTTTTAACACGATTTTATTTTATATGCGCTGCGTTTCCACGTAATTTCTTACATTTTATTTACTCAATTATAGACAATGATAATTCGTTACTATTTTTGAAATCAGTACAATATGTATGATCTTGATGGTGATTAGTGTTTATTAAAATGTGTACATAATTGTAGATAACTATGACTATGATGCATGCTAGGTGGTCGTTGTCGTGTCGGTTCGCACGGGTGTTGGCTAGATGACCGAGCTATAAGCGGACAGTGCCGGGCAGCGCGCAGCAAAACAGATTTAGTTTGTTAATTAAACTTGTTACTTGGAAACTAGTTACGAGAGCGTTTATTGAGGAGAAAACTAAGGTATAAAATCTGTCTGACTATGTTTGTAATTTGTTAATAGGTATTTCTCAGTAAATCTAGTAATCAATTACTTGCTTCAACGAAATACTTTAACTTTTCAGTCACTCAGAATTTAATTTATGCCGATTGTCTGATCACGAAATTTCATTTTATATTTTCGAGACTTTTTCCTCGGCAAATGATATTAACTTTAAAATAAAGAATGTTAATACCTTATCTGCACATAAATTAATACGTCATTTAGATTTCTACTAAGATATTCCTAAAGTTTAAAGTGGTATAATCTAAAATTCTAAAGGGTTAGTGGCGTGATAGGAACAGCTTTACACCCAAATCTACGATCGTATTAAGTTTTTACTAAGCAGGTCAAAATTACCATACTAATTATTCGACACTTCCACTGTAGAAGGTTTCTGTCGTCCTCGATTTTAAGGGCATCCTTTCACATTTCTGCCTCGAAATTTAAATGAACTTTATTCAATTCTGTATTTTTTTACAATCTCCCAACGCTTGATTCAATTGGTCTAATTTTCTCTTCGTATTGGAACAGCTAGACCCGGTAATGGTTAAAAATCTTTGCTATAAAATTCAATAGCAAACTACAACAACATTACAACGTAATAAAAAATTCTGAGATTATAGCGGCTATATTTCGGCGAGAGATTTAGTGGCTGCATATCTATGATCTCCACACTAAATCCTCGTTGTGCGGAAGTGAAAATAGCTTTATGGACGTATCCTATAATCCTATTGTGGTCGGAGAACAATGCGAGAACCGGTGCCGAAACCTAAGTATTTATCGCGGCTCCCATCGACTTTCTAAAGGCAAGCGTGGGTGAAACCGCCGGACATGTTACAAATAGTAAATTGGGCTCTTAAATAGGAATGAACAAGTCGTTACAACGATTGTACGTATGTCCACGTCCCTGCATTTAGATAATGATCCCATAAGTTGCAAGCAGCAACAATAAACAGAAAGTCAGTGCAGTAAAACAGGTATTTAATATAATACTGTATTGTGACGTGGTCTGAATTATGAGTTTTGGAGTTAAAGCATGTATTATTAAACCGATCAAACGATGCATTAATAGTATAGTTACTAGGTTTTTATACATATTTGATTACACTCGTCTTTAATACACCTTAATAGCCTATTGTTACGTGATGATATGCAGAGAACATGTACCAAGAACTTAGGTATTTAGAAACATGTTTTTCAAAGCCTGCAGATAAGAAAACAATGTGCCACGATACGAGGTGGTCCCGTTACATGCCGTGTCTTTGTCATAGAAGAATATCATCGAAATCCATTCGTAATTTCTGTTATCAAAGCCATATAGACAGTGAAATTGCAAATCACTAGTTTTATGCCGAGAACGTGACGTTGAAATGACATAAAGGAATAATGAGGGATCATTATTGATTTGAAAAATTGCTCATAAGTGCTTTTATGTGCTTTCACGTTTTTATGTGGACAGAACGTGATTCTTATCTAAAGGGATTTCACGTACCAATGTGAATATCTACACTTAACATGCAATAACATAATTATATATGGTCACGGCAAGAATATACATACATGCAAGTATCAAAAACATGCTTTCTTTTTCATATTTCGATACTCAAATCGACAGAGTATATTGACGTGTTATTTGTTGTTGAAACTGGTGATTTCCTAATTGAATTTAACTCGTCGAGTACCGGTTTTGTAGACACAATTATAGAACAATAGGTTGCGGTCACCGGTGACCGCTTGGTGTTTGACAGTTTAAACTATCAATTTACTTTAGGTACATAGAAGCATTATGCAATCTCTCGAAACGTCCAAGACTAGTTTATCCAACTAAACGATAAATTATTGATTCGTGTTCCAGTTACTGCACGTAGTCTTAGTGTTGCCAGCGCCTGATATTACTTTTACCCTTTTTTTGAGGGGAAAATTATCCAACGACTTTCGCACTTTGGGTGTGACAAGACAGTGTAAGACTCTTACTGACTAAAAAGCACCCCGTTCCTATTTATGCTTCACAGCTCCGGAACATTTTAAAATTAAGTTCTTTTAATAAATCTTAACGCTTTGAAGTTACCTTTTCAATAATTGTAATATTGATACTAATTTGACTCGACCGCTTGGTGTTTGACAGTTTAAACTATCACTGTTAATATAAAATTGAGTTTCATTTATTCATGTAGCAAAATAGATAAGCTGTCCTTAACGTACTGTAAAGAACTGGTTTTTCTATAATGTCAAGTACAAAATATGTGAAAAATAAGTTTTAACACATTCCAAATTCCAATTATTTTCAGGATATTTATTAATCATGACAACTACCTAATTATAAATTATATGTAGTGTTGTGTATAAAGTATGCCCTGTTTTCCTTTCATTATATTTTCCGCTATAAAGTAGGTTCATAACAAACATACTGTCGCATATATTACATATTTACTTCATACCATGTTTGTGTTACATAGTATATTAGCAGTTTATCTTGACACGTGCGTAATGGCTATCACAATTTACGCACACGGTACGTATTTAGTGATACAGTAGCTTTAAACCAATCACAAGCACCCAATAAATTAGCAACCAAGTCAAGACTTTGAGTAATATTACATATACAATTATCTATTAAATATTGTATATGTAATAGGTAACTGCAAGATCTTCAAGACGCAAAATAGAACAACAAAAGAGTTCTGGAAAAGTTATCATTCTCCAAAGCTTAATTAGGTACTAAATCTTAAACATTAACAGTATACTTTGCGATAATCTATACGTAAAGGAAAAAACCAATAACTAAAGTATGGTACTGGATTTACCCCTAAAAATTCCAAGAGTTACACAGTAATTACATCATACTCTATTTTAGCGTGGCATTTCAACAATTCCAACTTATATTTCTTAAACTTTGTAAAGGTATTTTTAATTGTAAGCAACCTAGACTATATGTAAGCAGTTACGTCAATTTGAAAATAAAGGAACACCTGAATATATTTGCTAAGAACTGCCAAATAATTTGTCTTTACGACAAAAAGTTACGCAGTTAATGTTTTCAATGTTGGCAAAAACAATTGGATCGATGTTACACGAAATGAACTGTAAGGTTCCCTAGTTTAGAAACGTAGTTCTTTTGAGATACTAAGTTGGTTGTGCCATATGTTTCCATCAGATGAAGACTGTAACAGGATACAATAGCAGTGGCGTAGCGTGCCTCGGGGGGGCCCCCGTATAAAAATTGTTTAAGGGCCCTTGAAGGGTAAACATTACTAACAAGAGATTTTTATCATAAAATACTTATAATTTGTGTCAAAACCAAAAATCTTTTCAGGCAACTCCGCCCTAATTAACTTTATTTTTCTTAAGTTTCTGCCAACCATTGAACGCATGTTTTACGTGAAAAAATATCGTTTAATTTGACTTTTGTAATTACTGAAATATAATAAAAATTGGGAAGTTTTTATTAATTTTTGCACGTTGGGGGCCCCTGTAGTGCGGGGGCCCTGTATAATTGATACGGCATATACGGCGCTAGCTACGCCCCTGTTCAATAGGCTCACCGCCTATTACATGGGTCTCATAATATTAATAGCGAAATGTGTGGTGTGGTATTACATTGTACAGTGGCTTTAAGTGTTGTAATGTGCACCTCCACCTACCCCTTCAGGGATAAAAGACGTGATGTTATGTTATATGTTGACTGTTACATGAAACCCTATTTTCGATAAAGATTTGCATTATACTAAACCTTTTGTTTTGTCTCTACCTCTACTGCCAACAGAAAACTGTTGAAGGTAAATCTTCTGCTAACGTCGCGTCGGCCACCAGTGCGGTAAACGTGTTTAAGTAATGAAAGCAGTATTTTAATGCTGTTCGTTTTCATTTTGTTTTTCAGCAGGCTCAGTTTGCTAGGAATTGCGTAATTCATATGTTTTCACATCAAGCTGTTACGTATCCGTAGCACAGAACATGATCTATTGAAATGATATGATAAGCAGCCATTCTACCAGGCATCTACATCCTGACACCAGTTCACCACAATCGTATTATATTAACGATTACTTCTTCTTTATGTCATAGGCTTCGTGTATGCCTATCTTCGTCATCAACTTTAAATATTTTATAAGGTGTCTTTATAATCTTAATATTATTTTTATTTTTATCATCTTAATGATTAATTATTATAATCGGTAAATTCATTCTTTTGTGACCAATTACGTCCCAATTCAAAACGGCAATGACGATATTGGAAGATCTATTCTGAATGCTTATTGATTTTATACGTAAAAGTATTCGTATCTTTCAATAATTCAAGCCAAGGTTTCAGTATAATTCGTTCGTCACGTTTGCACGAAGTGGTCAAAATATCAAGATCAAAACTGGATATTGAGAAATAAATAAAATAAAATAAAATAATTGTATCGTCTGTTGCCAATCTATCGGAATATTACATTTTTATGAAGAAACAAGATTGCAAAGAAGGAGAATAATTTAGTATTTTATTTTATGACAAAAACGAAATAAGATTAGATTATCGTATAGATTTGGTAGGTACTGGGTCGTTGCGGACTCTTAAGTATTTTATTTAACACTGTACCACCAGCTTACAATATACCTAATTAACAAGTAAACTACTATGTACCTTTATGACGTCGGATTTTCTTTAGTTAAAAAAATCTCGTGGATATTACCGATTGAAATTATTACAGAAAGTAAAAATGGGAATAATGGATACATGAACCAAATTGATACTACCAGTAGCCTACAAAAGCCGTCAAGGCATACCCAAAGTGAAGAATGATGATCAATCAACATTGAGTTGTTAACAGGCATAATCGAATAGAAAAGCAATGTAGGTAGATACATAACTATAGATTTATTCATATTTCTAAGTTATCTATGTTATCTCGACAACAAAACCAAAGAATCAACGATAATGTTCAATGGAGACGTAATCTTATCTTCATGAGATCATATCGTATCTTTAGAGACTTTGTTATCCCGAATTTCATTTTAAAACACGTTCATTTTATATTATTTTTGAATACCAGTACATTTTACGTAAGACTAAATCTATTTAAAACCTCTTTATGTTACGGATCCCTTATACGGGGGAAGCTTACGAGGATAATTTCGGATTCAATGCTAATTTTGACTTTTCGCTGAGGAAAAACCCGAAATTAGGTACTTTGTCCGACTTGCGAATAAGGCGGTAATACACTTCAAGATTGACAGTCCAGATAGGGAAAATGGCGCAGTCTACAATAACTGTAAAAATGTAGGTTGCACTGCATTTTCCTCCAGTTTTTGTCATATTTTTCCTAGGTTGGTACCTAAGCCAGTTCACGCAGTCTCCAGGCCTGTTACAATGTATCTACCTAGAATAAAAATGATCTAGTATTCAACTTCAACAGTGCGTGCGTGTGCGCAACAAACAATGACTGGTTGCCGTTATGCGTTTCGGTTTTCTGCCGACAATAGACGAGTACGTAACGGTGCCTGCGACATTTCACGATACCCGAGTCGAGTCGACGGATTTAAGCGGTGTGACCTTTGCTTTTACAATACTTCTCTTACTTTAAACCACTGAAAATATCATAGACAGAAACTATTTACGACTTTAACAAACAGTAAAATAAACGGTCATTTTTATTGTCCTAGCATGACTCATTTTAGGGAGTTGGGGAAACCCCTTTCAAAAAAACCCCAGGTAAATAAATGTCTGCAAAGGAGGGATATTGTTTAACAGTTATAAACTGTGGTACAGTTACGTATTATTATTACGCAACCTTTTTGGAACAACGGTTTTTTAATATATATTTTTTTTATTGCGTTTTTACGTGTTTTTAATGTAGAATAAAAAGAAAATTCTAATTTTGTGGGTCCAAGTAACATTTAAGTTTGGTATATATAGTGATAAAAGCCTAATGCATTAGAGATAAGTAAGAGGTCAACAAAAGGTTAAAAATACACACAAATAATTATTATGAACATGTTTCAACATATGGACTATCTATACCTTACCTATTGTGCTTCTGTATTTATATATTATTTATGCAAAATTTTAATTGCCATTTTGCTTATTTAATGAATTCATGAAATATTCAATAGCCACTTATTTTATTTCTAAACTGTTATAGTTCCAAGTCTCAGAATGTACCATTTTATAATAAATAAGTAAAAAACAACACTACACAGTGATATTTTTACTTATTCATCATTTTATTTATGAAAAAACTGAAATTACTAGGTAAAACCAGTGCATTGATTAAAAGGAAACAGGAAAGTAATACTTTTTATTAAACAAGTCTTCATTTAATGAGAAGTACCAATTTAAACAATTTATATTGAAGATTTATTCTTAGTAAAATTTTTATTGCATTTTTCCTATTCTTGGAACACTTTATCAAGGTGTGATCATCACAGTGATTTGAAATTTATATATTTTTATTTATTGTTGACCTCTGGGTTTATTTCTTTTTATTGAAATTGTGGGACAAGAAAGACTCATCTATTTAATTGAAATTTCATGAGACTAGAGTAAATCAGAGACTGATAACAGAAATTTCAAAGTACTTCATAACTAGATAATAAAATAATTTAAATTGAAATTGATGATAGTTGTAAATTAGGTGATATTTAAATTAGCTATTGTAAATTAGCTTATGTTAAGCATTCTCTTTGTTTTGGTTACAGGGAACCAAAATTTTATTTTTCTGCTATTCTCTGTTTTTGCTTGATATTTCTGTTTATCAATAATGTTAAACTGAATTCTGTAGTATCATTAATAGTACAAAGAGAGTAGAGACTGCTTAGGGAAGTTTGTAGTGATATTTCTTAGTTAGGTATTTTTGTGATATCACATCTAAATAATGGAATGCCATGACATGACAACACTATAATATACATGGAATGATGTTTTTCTAACAAGAACATAATGTAAAAAGAAATTTTTTTTAGGTTTGTTCACAAAAATTATTGCCTAAAATATCTAATACACTTGCACAACAAACATTTAAATAGAAACATCACATAGTGCCTTCAATATGTTACAAAATACACACAAGCATGAAAACATATGGTCATAGACTATTTCATCACAGCAGTTTCAAAAACATATTACAATTTATTATATTGCCTAGTCGTCAGCAGGCCGCCTTAGGGGCGGAGTTTGTGTACAAACTGTGTTTGTCTGTATTTTGTATCGCTAACGACAACCTGTGAACATACACAAATTGTTATGATCTGATAACTCCATGATAAGACGTCCAAAACACGTGACTGCACTTCACGAAAGTATTCCAATAAGACGTGTAAAAATGGAAATAGATTATTTTTAGTTGTGTCATATGTTTACCTCGTACCGACAAACCTCGAGTTTCACGGCACGAAAATCAACACCATGCTAATAATAAACTTGCGTCGAAGCCAGCCCGCATACCTATATCAGCTTTATCAGTACACAAACGAGAAAATAAAAAGGTTAATAGAAACTCACACGTTGCTAGCGATCGTTTCGTGGGTATCGCTCGTATAGAAAGCAATCAACCGACACCGCTCATCGGCGGGGACCAGTAATTTTCCACTCCGCTGTTCTACACAAGTACCACTAAAACTTAGCAAGAGCCTTCCTCACCTCTCTAAGACAATTTTGTGACAGTACGATCCCACTATCATGCTGAAAGAAGCACACGAAAGCGGACAAAGGGTCCTTCAAAACACAGCCATTTTGAAACCGTTCATACGAAATGTTACGTGTACCGATGCGTACAATGTTTTGGGGATCAGAAAAGAAAACTTTTTTATCCGTTCGCACTCATTTTTGTTTTTTATGCACAATAAAAACTAACACTTAACATTTCACACACTTTTAAGTACGATTTCACTTCATACTTTCGCACACACCCGTTTACGTCGCAGCAAGTCCCTGACGGACGAAAGCGACAGACTCGCACGAATCAAGCTGCGGATTGCGTGCCACGGTTAATATTAAAGTTGCCAGACTAATGAAATAAAAAGCTACTAAAACTACTGTCATAATTTCAATCAAAACGTGTTTAAGTTAAGATATTTTAGCTTATTTGCGCAAAATATATTTCTAATAAAATGTATTTGATTTTCATTCACTAAAATTGGTAAGCTCTTGAAAACTCTTGAAACTACTAACAAAATTGTGCCTTAAATGCAGCATGCCTACGCAGTCAAAATCAGTTTACTGTCAGTTTAGATAATTTTTAATGGAATTATAGTGGATTCTTTTCATATTCTCCTTATACAGAGCAGTGTTATACGTGATTTGTGACTGTATGACATATGAGGAGGAAGACGTAGAAAACGAAAATAATATATAGGTATCTAAAGATACCACTATGACCATAGGTATTTCAAGTGTCCTTAAAAAAGAAATACGTATTTTTTGTAAGATTTCAAGTTTGTTTTAATGCTTTCCATATATAGCGGGCGAGATTTCATTCTAGATTTGTTCAGCTAAACGAAGCACAAACTTGGCATATACACAGTTGTAGACCCTGCTAGCCTTCTTAATCATGGTAACAGAACCGCTCCTACCAGTCCATAAACTTTTCGTCGTAGCACTTTTCTGTGCGTTCTTTATGATATAGGCGAATTTTGTGACATAAAAATTTATTATGGATGGATTTTGTGTTAATTTCTACTAAAAGGTACAAATATTTATTTCTGAGCAACACTTTACCATAGACAAGGCTTGAAGGTTGTTTTTATTTGACATTTTATTATTTTATGGTTAGATATATGACATGTAATTTTTGTGTACATACTTTAAGCAATAATATGCTTATATTAATATATATTTTACATAGAAATCTTGAAGATTTACGATATCATGTGGTTTTCATACAGTAACCTGACAACGGGCATTGTAAAAGCCTAGTCTGTGTATAGTCTATGGTAGCTGCGCGCGTTATTCAATTTAGTTGCTAAGCAACGCCGCAATAATTCTAAAAGCACAGTTGTATTTGGTATTTGGCCGATTATCGTGTTAGGTTCATGTCCTGATGAATTATAAATAATATCCGGTCGTACGCGAGGAAGCACTCGATCGAATCCACCTTTGTTAAAAATGTTTAATAAGTAAAAATGATAACATTATCGTTGCATTTGTTTCGGACATTAATATTATTGTGGTGTTAAAATAATGAATTTATTCGTTAGATATTTAGTAAAAAATTAAATATTTATTCTGCAGTATGATTGATATCAAAATTCAGTTTTTGTTATTCAATTACATTGTATTTGCCTTTGCTGAGGATTATGAAAGTGACGATAAACGTAAGTATCTATTTATTTCGATAATTTTATTAACTACTCTCGGCACCTCGGCACCTAGGCCCACTAAATTAATATGGGCACACCTTTTGCAAATCCCACTAAAATATTTATAAATGATATTATTTTTAATTATGCCATTTAGCTTTGATTTTAATTAAAATAATTAATATAACTACCTACTACATTAATTTATTTAATTCTTAAAAAAGTTAAGTGCTTCATCACCTTCATCATACCTATCATATTAACAAAGTACATTGCAGTTCGCAAAGTGAAAAATAAAATAGATATATTAGACAATAAAATTACTTACCTATGGGCTATATGTACCTATTATACCGTCTTTTATTTGAATTTTGCTATCATCATGGATATTATTCAGTCATCAATAAAGTCATCATGTAGGTAACCATTAGATAGTATCCGATTTTACAGCTTAAAGAAACAATAAAACATGGTTCATCATCCTCTTCGCCATCACATCAGCCGGAAGACGTCCACTGCTAAACTGAACGTAGACCTCCCGAAGTCTCGACAAATTACTGTCAGATTGTCTCATTATTAGTTATACCTAACCAAAATCAGCTTCAGATTATAAGTTACGAACTCGTCGAAAAAAGAGGAAGTGATACACTATACATATTTCGACCACGCAGAATCTCCTTATCAAAAGAAATGTTTAATTTCATTAATAGCGCATATTCTTCTATGATCATCCTTTATCTGTTATAGACAGCTACAGTGGGTAAGCATCTATTGTAGCTTATCTACTAAAGTGTTTGATTTATAACCAAAAAAAGTCAATCTCCCAGTGTCATCATGACCATAATGATATGCTGGCCGTGTCCACAATTTTGCTCATAATTGCGAATGCTGTACATAGGAGACCTCACGTAGAATGACATAAACAATTATAATAATAATCAATCAAGGCACAGGCAACATCACAGTCAGCCGACCGCGTCCCGCGTTTCCGCTGTGACATGGAATACAAAAGATGCGTGCGCGCACATCGCCGCGTAACCACCGCCATTACGATGCTATTATATGCCTTTTTGTTCGTTTTTCGTTGGAAACGAATTCTGATTACTGGCAGGATGCGTGCTCTAAAATTCCACAGACCTACATGAATCAATGTGGATGGTGAATGGAATATGGATGAGGACTGACCTTTGTGGGATGGGTCGTAGATGGTCAAATGTTTGCCAAGTTGTCCATTGTTGGAGATCCCATACTGCGAGATTGAATGATCAAACGCCATAGTAGTGGCTACTATGTCTCATGAATGGAGATTCGTTTGACGCACGCGGTTGTGAAGTCTGATCAAATAATATGACACACCCTGCCATACTGACTGTTTCGAGGACACGCATTTACCTACCTCGTTCTTTTAAAATTTAACGTCAATTTAGTGATTTTCTCTTGGCTCGAATAGGGAATGTTTTTCAATATGTGAAATACCCGCTACCTGCTAGTAATAAGTATTATTATATCTATTTTAGACTAGCTGACCCGACATATTTCGTACCGCCCAGAATTTATTTTCTCTCTTACCTTCCCTGGACTTCCACGAACGTTTCAAGACCAAAATTAGTCAAATCGGATCATCCATTCTCGAGTTTTAGCGACACTAATGACAGGATATTAGTTTATATAGATTTATTACTGAAAAACTCATGTTTATTATTAGAACCAACATCCTAAATTATCTCCAGTTCTGACCCTATCAGACTTCCAATAGGAAAAAGTTAACATTGTAGATAATTTACAAAAGTTGTGAAGTGAAGGCTTGTTCAATATCCGTGTCGTGAGTCGCGACCGCTCAAACAATACCGGTGCCATTCCGTGCACTGAACCTTTTCGTGTTTTCCGCCATCGCCCTAATATATCACTCAATTCGGGTTACCATTGCAATTTTGTAAGCTCTGTTAGATACTGCCAAACTGTTATGATACTACATTAATGGTTAACGGTTACTTATTTAGGTTAACTACGTTTTTGTTAAAGGTTTTGTTTTTAGAAACAACGACAATATTCCAATTATTGCACAATTATTTTTTAATCTTTATTATATAAGAAAGGCCTTTTTCCTAAGAGAAGAACGTCAGCCCTGTTACTACTATAAAGCACTATACTATACTATACTATACTAAAACAAATCATTGACAATTATTTTGATAATATGATAGTTCAGTAGGTACCGATTTAGACTTGCACTGCCGTAAAGGTAGACCAACAACTCAATTACTTGTTAAGTATCAAAAATATGTACCTATAGTTTACCACAAAATAACTATTATAGTTTAGTTTTCTTCCGTAGCGATTCTAATGTTACATAGCAGACAAAATCGATATCCAATCGATAGTTCGAAATTAATTACCAAACACAGAAGTCAACGTAGTGTAGTTAAACCTCCATAGCTAAATATAAACTTGTACATAGCTGTATTATATTGAGAAAATGCGTTTCGTTTCGTATAAACTTCGGAGCATGGTACTGCATGGCGCTAATCCTGGTGTATTGGGTCTACAAGTTATAAGCGAGAGACGAATGCTTAACAAGCAACGTTTAGTTCAATCAATATGTTTTATAAAGAAAACTACGTGTTTCAAGATATGCTCATGCTCAGATTTTTTGGATAGCCGTTATGTACCTAAGTACCAAATAAAGAATTAAGCACGTAGTTTATTTTATAATTATGAACTATCTGTCACTTGAGTTCATCGAATACGTATTTACATGAATTTTGTAAATCAGGCGGTTAGAAATAAGCCTATTGATATAAATAACCATTCCTTAGCTGGAAGTGTAGAAACTGTCCAATAAGAAACTCGCGACAGAAAGGCATGATCAGGCACGATCAATGTCTGGACAACTGGAAAATGTAGAGCGTTTAACAAAATCGCTACTACCTTAAAACTTGCACCATCATAGTTCCCTGCAAATGAAAGTTACACGGAGGGCGAATAAACTGTAAACATCATTTATTCGGAAGATCACGCGATGTTACGATGTTACAAAATTCAGATATAATACGTTTGTAGACATAGCTCACGATAACCGACGTTTTTGACTATTTCTTTGAGTAAAATTCTTGATTTATGCAACTTGCAATGCTTAATGAAGCATTTTATGCTCTCTCATGGTACGTATATATGCAAATATTTTCCATCATTAAAATTCCTTTTGCAATGAAATTCTCGACTGCTGAAATTACTTTTTCATATCTTTTCATGAATATTTTTGAGTTGAATTTCACTAGCAATGTGAAAAGTTTATTTAATTTTCGTTTAAAGTACTAAGTCATACTTTAACAACTTTAACTGCTTACCTACATTACAGAAACGTTGTAAAATATTTCGAAATCCTCAAATGATAGTAATCAGTTCCAAGGCCAAAGCATAACAAAAGGAATATTGAAAGATATGACTAAGCATAATTCAGCAATTGAAATCATTTTTACAAGAATTTAGTACCTATTTATACTTCTTTACAAATCGTTTTCATTACTTACCTACATATAAAAACTTACAGTAATTGCTTAACTGTTGACTTGAATTAGGTAAATATTTTAGTGTGTGCGCAATTGAAGGAATTTTCGGTTGTAATTCGCTGAAATTCATGAAACATTAATTCCATTAATTATGCCAATAAATCAATGTCTTTCGTTTTTGTCATTCCGTTAAAACCATTTGTTAAGCAACGGGTTATATGGATTTACTTATTTTTATCATGAATTTCAGCAAACGTTTTTAATTGTAACGTTAATTTCTAACCGTGAAAAGACTTCGGGTATGTAATAAAAGCTACTTATTTTCAGCTGTCGTCATTGGAGAATCCTAATGTCACGGGAAAATTCCAAATGGACTTAAATAATATTTGACTAGTGACAAAAAAAATATGTTAACAATCCTATGTTAATTAAATACTTACGTCAAGGCGAAAATGTCTAATGTCGTTCGACGTGGAAGGGGGAGGCCTTTGTCCAGCAGTGGACGTCTTCCGCCTGTTGATGACGATGATGATGATGATGATGAAAATGTCTAACAGTCTCTCCTCCATTTCATAATTTTCTATTAAAAATACCGACCGATCATCAATATACGGTTTATTTCTCTTGCACAGTATACATGCTGGTATCCCAAGACCAGCACCAACACACGCCTCGACTGGAAGACTTCTTCTGGACAGGATCTGGAGATGGACCACCGCCACCACCAGATCCGCCCCTCCCTGCACCAGTGCAACCTTCCACACCAGTCGTGCGGACTACCACAGTCCTTGCTACTGTCTACCTGGATTCTTACCCACCACAGGTAAGTAAACGGTGCTTATCTTAGTTGATTGAAAAGTTAAAACTTCTGAACTCTAGAAATACTGGTGCAAATTGAGTTATTTTGTGTTGGACAGAGTATTTATCGAGGAAGGGTATAGGCCCTATCTTATACTATTATATGAAGCGGAAGAGTTTGTAACGCGCTAATCTCCGTAACTACAAGTCTGATTTGAATAATTCTTTTTGTGTTGGATAGTGCATTTATCGAGGATGGCTAATGGCTATAAAACATCACGCTACTACCAATAGGAGCTGAGCAGAGCGTGTAAAACCGCGCGGAAGTAGCTAGTACTCTATATATATATACATATATCATAATCTATGTAATATTGATTAATGTATAATAATCCTACAGTATAGGCTATAAAATACTACGCTACGACAGTACGACCAATAGAAGTCGAGCAGCGGATGAAGCCGAGAAAGCTATCTTTTATTTTTCGGTTACTTTATTTAATACTAGCTACTTCCGCGCGGTTTCACACGCTGTGATTAGCTCCTATTGGTCGTAGCGTGATGTTTTATAGCCTATAGCCATCCCCGAAATCAGACTTGTAGTTACGGAGATTAGCGCGTTCAAACAAACAAACAAAAAAACAAACTCTTCCACTTTATATAATTAGTATAAGATGGTATAGGAACCGCTAAAGAAGTTAAAAAAACTTGAATTTACCGTGTACACCTGTGTGGGAAAGCAAGTCATCAATGTGTCAAGACTTATTAGTTATCGTGCATCTTTTACGTAAACCTACTTAAACATTGAAACTTTAAACAGTTCCTGAATTTATAATTACAACAACTTCAGCTTTTACTTTACTTCCTGAAAGTTTCGTGGGACAATAGTTTTGTAATTAAGTCATTAACATTCGTTTAACCCACCCCCTTTGCTGTTGAATTTTTGTCTCGTTATACTAAATGTAATACAGACATGCAAGCCCAACATGGCTTTTAATACACTCTTTGTTATGTTAGCATTCAGCCCTATTAATAAAATTCATTATAGGACCTATGACTTGTTGACTTAGCACTATTACATTGAATGATTACAATAGGCAGTTAAATAAAATTAACAAAAAATTGAGTCAGTATAGGTTAACTATAACAAATATAACATAAGTTTTCTTACAGGCGGTGACAGACAAATCGACAGGCGAGTGCGTGCTAAATTGTGGCGAGCCTGGCGTACCAGGTAGCTTGGAACCAGAGATCCCCGATGATCGAAGGTACTGGCTCCTCACTGTCATTCAGGGATCCACACCAGATAGCCTGCAATTGAGACTCGCTAGGTTGTACCAGAAAGCCTTCTTGAGGTAACCGATGTTCCCCTTCAAATACCTTCTAGTTTTAGCCAAGCTTCACTCGCTCTATACTCATCATCTCATCTTTGTTAAATACACCAAGCATCTAGGACACCTGTCATCTAGTCAACATTATTCGTAGAAATGTAGAAAAGCTTTTTGCTCAATTTCATGTTCAGGTAAATTTATTGTCAATTCCAAGCCTTACTCTAATATGTTCCAGGCAACAAGAGCGTCACCTGGGCATCATCAAATCTCTCGACGCACCACCTGCTCGAAAGAAACATGACGTCCATTCATTTGCAGTGAACAAAGATAATAATATTAGTCCAGTAGGCCCACAAGGCACTAACTCGCCATTCAAATATCTTGATATTGATGCATCAATGGTTCCTATAGAGTCAATTGTTGGTACGATGATAAACAATGATGAAAATTCTAGCACGAAGCTTCTAGAGTCTTCCAGAGAATTTGTGTACCCAGCTAATATAGAAATGTTTTCTATTGACGCTAATACGTTAACTCTAAATGCTGAGATAAAGGCTACAAAGTTGAATGAAGTAGAATCTTGGATACTAGCTACACCAACTGTGTCCATTCGTAAAAGGGAAGTGACTGATAGAGAGCAATTGGAAGAAATAAAAGAAGACTCGATAGACATTCCTCTAGAATCGGAAGTTAATGAGACGATGTTGTTTAAGCGGGAGATTTTGAAGCCGGAGCAACAACCGCCAGTGCAAGTTCATATACAAAATATTACAGAGGTAAGTATTTTGCTACATCACGAAGTGCCCCTAAAATTTCGTTTCGAAGGAATGAATGACTTTTAAGCACTCTTCTTCAAGAACCACTATCTAATGCAAAAACATAATCTTCAGCTTTGTGATGTTTTCAAAGGTAACGTCTTCTTTATTATTATTTGTCTTCTCCAGTCTCCAGAAACGGGTAGCGTTCAGATAGTGTACGTGGTGCTGGTCGGTGGTAGAGCTGTACCAGCTGCGGTGGCTGCCAGAGACATGCGACTGGTCAGAGACGCTGAAGTGGCGAGAGAATTGGGTGCTGTTGTCACAACCAAAGCTGAGCGTGAGTATACATAAATCGTAATATTTGAGATAAATCTTCGTCCCGTTGGATACATTTTTTTCCTTTTCATTTGGCTTTTCTCAATTACCTAGATGTTTTGGTTGTCACTGAGTTTTAATTACCGCTTTTTAATTGATTTCTACATAAAACGAGACAAACTGCGTTTACGGACTATTTAAGCCACGAGGAATCCTTGCGGATTAATTGATCTCATCATGCTAAACCTAGCCGACCCTTTTAAAAGTCTTTCCTTGTTAGAAGATCAAGTGACCAACGATATGCATTTACTTTAGCAGCGTACCTAAAAACAGCGGAGGGTTTGGAGGGAGATGCAGGGGGTGGCGTGCATGGTACTGAGCTATGGGCACTGGCTGTGGGAGCTACAGTAGCTGTACTGTTGCTGCTCGTATTGTTGGCTCTCTTGTGTCTGGCTCACAGGTACAGTAACAACATTTCTTTGTCAATCTCCTTTATTTTTTCATAGAATCGGGCGCGAAAAGAGTAAACTGATCACCTAACGGTGAATAATTAGTGCCGTTTATGGACGTGTATCTAGGAGCGGCATGCAATACCAGAGAATTTATAATTGTGTTGCCAGAATTTTTTTATGGCATAAGCTGGTAAAGGCGCGGACGGATCTCCTGATGGTAAGCAATCGGCGGCGCCTAAGGACACCTGAAACACCAAGGCGTTACAAGTGCGTTACCGGTGTTATAGAAATTGTAAATTTGAGGATTTTGGAGGATTCGGCGATTGATCTGGTAACCTCACTCAAACGTTGTTTCACATAGGTTTTCTCTGTGAGGCCGTGGTATCACACCGGTCGAGCCCGCCCATTCGTGCCGAAGCATGGCTCTCCCACACTTTTGGGGATTTGGAAATGGGGGTAGGGGGAAGATATTAACTATTAGGCCAGGCCTCTAAGTTTAGCACCAAACTATTAGGGAGGTCTTGACAAACATGATGATTTTTCAGGAAAAAGACAATGAAATCTGCAGCTTCCATCCGAGCTTATAGAAATGAGTTATTAAGAGAAGCAGAGAGGAATCAACTGAAACAAGTGCATGAAGAGAAAGATGGAAGGGTAAGTCTTTTGGACAACTATCATGTATAATAGTAGATAAGGTATTTGTTATGAAGACCGTTGAAAGTCATGACAGTTAAAGAATGATGACTGAGGATGAAAGGAAATACATGAGAAGATTTTGAAAAGAATGGTAATTATCGTAGTTTCTTATTTTTCCAATACTACTTGATTTTTTGTTCGGATACGAAGCGTTTTTTAAACATATTAGGCCTTAGGATGTCAGTTTGTAGAGTTAATTATGTTTCAGCTGATAAGTGTGGTGTCCCCAAGTAGAACGAGGCCCAGCAGTACTCTACTACCGATTTACAGAGCTGCTAGTGCTGCTAGCAGGTAAGTACTCACCTGAGTTAAATTAATATGTCTCTATAAGACAGGTCTTACTACGTATTTACTGAGGCTTTGGAGTCCAGTACATTTTCTTCCTTAATTGAAAATTAGATCGAAATTTAGTCCATACTCTAATTCGTTATATTTTTTTGCAAGTCCACAGAATCCCTAACAAATCAATATTTCAATCGATTCAATCACTGTTTACTTGTAAATTAGTTCATCAACATCTTCTGGAGTGTCGGAGGTGGCGACAGCTTTCCGTCGTCGACAGAAGAAGCCACATGCTCTTAGAATGCCACAGAAGAAGAGAGGTAAGTCACATTGACACTTTGGGATATATCCACAGTAAGGTTTAACTTCTGTTAGCTACATAAATCAGGGATGGATGATTGAAATAGTGTGACGAGAATAGATGAAGAAAACCTGATATGATTGTGTCGTAGTGGCCCGGAGGTTGACGACGCCTGCTTCTCATGCACGAGGGTGCGGGTTCGAAACCTACCAACGGCAAGTACCAATGCGACTTTTTCCGAGTCATATGTACTTTCTAAGATTATTTAGACACCACTGACCAACGGTGACGGAAAACACAGGAAACCTGGGCTCATAATTTCTAATTATAAGATTGAAATCGCCAACCCGCATTAAGCGAGCGTGGTGATTAATGCTCTAATCTTCTCCGTGTGAGAAGAGGCTTTGCTCAACAGTGGGCATTTATAATCTTTTGATGAAAACTGATATGTTAGAAGAAGCCCGAATGTGATGGAAAGGACGACTAAAAATGTAGGTATAGGGAATGTGGAGAATGATTTAAAAGAAGGAGCCTTTTTGATGTTTACAAAGTTTGTATTGGATTGACATCTGATAAAAAGAAAAAACATAGTCCCAATCACTGAAAAGTTTCATTAACAATACGATAACGAACGTCACAAACATATCTCATGTCCCTCTTCCAGTGGGTACGACAGATAGTCTGCTAGAAGCTGCTGGACTGGACAGCTCTGATAGTGGGCAGCCATCGGCGCCACCTACTCCAACCTCGTACCTTTCGATGCCTTCCGTCAATGCTTTCCCGAGGTAAGGAAGATATTGTGTAATTTTTATTGTAAATGAAGTTTTACCGCCTGTACAGAAGAATAAATTATGGATTTTGTTAGTTATCTTCTGGTCGCACCTAAATGGTACTTTATATTGTGTTTAAAACAAAAACGGTATATTTTGAAAAGGGAACAAATGACGCCGAATATCCCTTCACAGAAAAATAAATAAGGATTTTCTTCTTGATCTTGTCCAGAGATCTAATATTCTGGTCAACATCCCTCAGCAATTTTTATCTCAATTTAAATTCTTTTCTGTACTTACACCTTCATATTTCAGAGGCAACGTAGTTGAACCACTCTCTCGTATACTAGAACCGGTCTCAGTGCGTCACCTAGACATCGACTCCCCAGCAGTTTCTCCAAAGAAGAATAAAGAAACTAGCAAAGATGTCGTACCTCGACGGCAGATGGCGTCCCAGTTAGTAAGACTGGGGAGCATAGACAAGGATCCCGGAGTTATTGGACCTCTCGTCTGGGACTTGCATTGTCAGAGGATTAAGGATTGTAAGTTTTCATATCATGAATATTAAATGTGAGAAATATGCGCATGCGCAATGAGCATGTATCAAATAGCAACATCCACTTTTCACCAGTCTGGGTAATTTCATAATGAATCCCTAAAGGGATAATAAACCCTATTATGTGCTGCTACTGATTTTTTTGAAAACTAAAAAATAAATAAAAACCTTAAAATAGATAGGTAATTCGTCTTACCAGGATGTCAAGAATCAAAAAACTCAGCAATTGTACATTGCAACTACTCGACTTTAGATTAATTAAAGCTTTCAACAAAAAAAATAAAAAAAATCACTTTCTCAACGTAATTTCCTCCACAGCCTCCAAACCATCAAGTCCAGCAAGATCTGCTACATCAGCTCGCAAGGAGCCAGGAGCCTCTCGCATGAGGCAGAGGTTCAACGAGCTGATGGATGATGCCTTCACACTGTTCGGCAGTGTCGGATCCAGTCCCAATTCTCAGGACACTTATACCGTGGAGGAACGGGACCCTAAAGAGAAGGGGACGCAAAATGCTGGGGTTGCTACAGGTACCTATAAATTGTAAAAAATTTTTATAAGTACTTTACCATCAGAACCACATAAGTCTTCTCCTAAACTATTTTTTTTTTAAAACGTTACCCCACATTAAGATTTTCTGCTGTGTCGTGGGTGCGTTTACAAACATACAAGTTCACATACACAATGACACTCAGACCCGAAACAACAATTTGTGGATCACACAAAGTGTTGTTCCGTGCGGGAATCGAACCCGCGACACGTTGCACGGCAGCCGGTTGCCCAGCCACCGCATCAAACGTGCACTATGATAGTAGTCAAACGTCGCGTCGGCCCATCAAATATAAAAAACAAAACTGTGACCCACCTCCACATAGGAGAGGGTTTGCCATTTTCTCGAATACCTGCTATGCTATCTCTGAAAATTGAAAGGTTCATATATGCTTATCAGAGAGCGCTGCTGCCCATATATACATACGTTACGCCTGTCTCCCATGGGGGTAGGCAGAGACTATGGAACGCCAATTACAACGATTCCTACATACCTCTTTCGCTTCATCAACAGTCATCAATCTTTTCATACATGCTCGTCGGTTAAGTATACTTTTAATTTGGCCCCTCTTTAATATATCGCCAATCGCTGCTGCCCAGTTCCTGTCAAAAACATAGGTCCCTTCTAACAACATTAGCAGTGGTGCTAGAATACCTATACCGTTACCCCATGCCTCATAAGTCAACGTCATTAGGAGTACAACAAATCAAGGATCAAGTTTATACATTAGTTCCAGATCCAACCGAGCAGTTGGCTCAAGCTCGCAACGACAACGTTCGACTCCCGGGCTCACCGTACACCGCTATGGATACCGTTAGGGGGCGGTCAGCTGGACCAGGGTAAGAATGTAACATCATCAGTTCGTCCGTCCTCGGGATCTTGGGACATATGCAGGTCTATGTCTAAGTGACTGTTCGACGAGGTGACTTCACTAGTCGATGGTTGTGCATGCTATCCTAATCATATTGACTATATGGGTTTCTGTCTTCCTATAGTGCCTTGAAACTATAATTAACTTGAAAAAGATAATTTTTAGGATATCAAACTTGATTTATTAAAGTCTGTAGAGATAAGAATAAAATGAGTGTCTACTATATTTCTGTATAGGCGAGCCGGTCCCAGTACATCAACGCCAGTGCAGACAGAGGGCGGTCGCCCTCGCACGTCGTTCACTCGGACTGCGGCGGAGCGACGGGTGCCTCCACCCACCAGGGCCTGGGGACAAACTCCCCCACAGGTAAACAACGTAATGGTAAAAGGGGGTGTATAGGGATTGAGAGGTGAATAGGGACAGAAGAGGGGTGAATCGATGCTATGAAGAATTTCCCAATATCTATTCACCCCCTTCTGTCTCCATACACCTCTCGACCCCATTTTACGGTACCTATATAATCAATGGATCTAGATAAAATGATTACCATATATTTGATTTATACCTACTGGGAAAAAAATAAAAATAGATAAGTAGGTTGATGAAAAATGCACCAAATAAACGAAGCTTGATGTATGGGTTGAGAAAAGTATTAGTGTTTTTTTTTAATTTGCATTGCATAGATGTAAGGAAATTTTGGAATACTTCATGGCAATAAATTAACGACCATAACATAACCATAAGTGGTAAGGTAATGCATTATATACACTTGCATATATAAATCCAAGATAGGTACTTCTCTGAGGAGTAAACGACCTTGTTACCTTATTGTGTACTGGTGATTTTTAACACACTACCAAAGAGAACTACTGCAGAATCTCACCAAACTTCTTACACAGCAATGGGACGCCAACTCCATGATAATTTAACGTTGGTAGTCCCTAGGTGGGCGGCCGACGGTGAACCCGGCGCTTATAACGGCTGAGGGCAGGCTACAGGCCGAGGACCCAGCCATACCACTCATATCTGCCATCAAAACCGAGATACAACGCATCAAGGAGACCGCCGCTAAACCAAGTACACTGCCAAAATGATGAATTTTTTACTAATTATTGTAGGATAGTTGATAATTAATGAGGTAAAATATTCAGGTAAAATATACAGATTATTCACGTGAATTTATTATTTGAGAAATTACAGATTTCCTGCTATTATTTATAGTTCCAAGTATTATTTCTTCGTATTCAATAGTTCACGTTAAAGGAGGCCATACACGCTAGGTTTTACATGATGGTTTAAGCCGTGCATGCTTAACCGACAAGCAAGCCCTAGCGTATATATGTGATTAAACTGTACAGTTATCGGTGCATGTACATGCAACCGAGCAACTATCAAAATTCATATTTTATGTCGCTCGGTTATGTTTGTGCGCGAGCATAACCGAGCGTGTAGCGTCCAGCGACCTTGCTGTCACAGTTCTCAGTTTTTTTTATTTTCTCAGTAGTCCCGTTATGGTATATATGTTCTGTGGTAGTCTGGTATTGGCGTCCTACACCCACCGTCACGTACTACGTAGCTCACTCAACTGAGAGTTCGTGGCAAAATGGTGCATGCAAAACCTAACGTGTATGTGTGATATGAAACTCGGTTATGCATGCAAAGTTATAACCATCATGCATAACCTAGCATGTATGGCCTCCTTAAGTAAAGTATATATTGTACCCAAGATCGTTGGAACTAATGTTAAGGTAGTTCTTAGATATGTATGATTTTATACACCACAACAAGAATTTTTTTATTAATAATTCTTTTACAAACTACGTTTAAAAACCAACTTGGAACCTCTTTTTTAAAATCGGTTAAAAAGAGCCTCAAAATCAGGTAGTCATTTAGTATTTATTGTTCAAGCTCATTCTATATGTGAACATTAGCTACCATTATTGAAAAAAATAATATTAATGTTACAAGACTACCTACAAAATTATGACTAATGAGTAATTTTCTATTTAGTCTCGAGTATTTTAGCATTTTACAGTTGTATTTATGTATAAAAAATATGATTTTTACATAAGTGTTCTAATAAGTATCGAATTGGTGTAAGTGCAATGAATAATCTAATATTTAGTGATATTAACAAACAATCTCTTGTTTTCTATAAGTTAAATATTGTTAAGCTGACTCATAAAAGGATTCAGCGAAAAATATTAAAAATGAAAGTTTTTCTTGATTTTATAAATCGTTCACTTGTGTTTGGAATCTCAATTTTTATTGTTATAATTTTACATAACTGTTGTAGAGAGTTAGTGGCAATCATGTATTATTTTATTATATTTAAATCTAGTTAATTATTGTTAAACGTAGACATAAGTATTATAAAAATAATTAAGTTCACTTGTCATAAGTTTGTTGTACCTATAATATGTCAAAACGTGTGCGTAACCCAGGCCAGGTATTGTTAAAATGGTCATTTGAATCTTATAGATAATTAGTTGGGCGGCTTCTGTAATTGTTGCGCACATTTTTAAATTTGTTGCGCTTATATTTTTTTAATTATTTCACAAAAACATTTCCTGCTGGGGTAACGTTACCCCAGCCAGACCTTTTTCTTTCTAATGGGAATATTTAAATAATTACTAGCTATAAAATTAGTTGTCTAGATGAACTAAATGTTGTGCCTTATTTTGTATTTGTTCTTTCATCGGTTGCGAAGTTATTGGAGATTATACTGGGGTAACGTTTTTGGTTTTGCTAGATCTTTGAAATGGTTAAGCGGATTCTTATCATATTTTGTACAATAATTAAAAAACTATAAACGCAACAATTACAGAAGCCGCACAACTAATCAATCAATACATAGTATAAAGTCGCTTTCGCTGTATGTCCGTATGTATGCTTAGATCTTTAAAACTACGCAACGGATTTTGATGCGGTTTTTTTAATAGATAGAGTGATTCTTAAGGAAGGTTTGTATGTATAATACATGCATATTGCACCCGTGCGAAGCCGGGGCGGGTCGCTAGTTATCTATAAGATTCAAATGACCATTTTCGACAACAACTGGCCTGGTCAACACACACTGTCAAAACTATGTTTGATGCCAATTATAATTGTAATCAACTAATCTACCTGATTTATTCGGTAACATGTACTGTGAATCTCTTTACAATAAAAAAATCCAACTTATTTACTTTTTTAACTTATTTTTAGTCTAAATAAAACTCAGTTTTTGTAAGTGCATGTTTATTTTGTACTTAAATTGCCATACAAAAGGGTTGTCAGTAATTTCAAATACCACTAACATAAATATTTACATATGATACATACACATATCGCCTAAACACTTGAAAACTGTTCAATAATTGGAAAACCCAGGTCTTTGGCTACTTAAAAAATATTTAATAATAATTTGTTAAAACTTATAATCAATTATATTGTTTGGGTTCAAGAAATACTGTTGTATCATGAACCAATTTTTAAACGTAGTCCAATAACGTATAATTACACAATCATCATAAAACTTAGAAAAATTCCCTCCATATAACATTAACAAAAGTTAACAAATAAAAACAGATCACACCATAATTTTGGAATCAAAACGGTAAACAAAATTCCGAAATCACGACACTTTACTTAGATTAGAGATTATATTATTATTTTACTTTAAAATTGAATTGAAACGGATCTAGCCTCGAACAATCTGACCACTGAGAAAACTTTGCCCTTCACTGTAGTAGGTATCAAAAATTATAATTCATACAAAACAATCGACAAGTTTAATCCATAACCCACTTTGTTGAAAATCATATGAATCCATAAAAATATCTCCAAATATAAATGTCAAGTTCAAATTATGTCGATTGTCGATCGCGTGCTGACTGGCGCTATCTCTCGGTGGTCAGACTGCAACACCCAAAGTATATTCACATCAGCCTTTAAGTAGTCCTTTCCTGAATAGTGTAGGAATGTTGATCAGAATGATCGTCCCGCGTATTTATTGGACACTGAGCACTGAGCACTTATCACTGAATCTTGAAGTAATATTAGTCCAATGTAAATGACGGCGAGACTGCACAGTTCAGAGTGCCAGTCACTCGATCACCGAGTCGTCTTCCTCGCCCTCATCAGACGAATGCTATGCTGATTGAAGAGTCTGTTGCGGTGCTAGCCGCCTCCACTGAGCAGGCTGCTCTTGGCCTTCATCATCCTGCAAGAAAATGTTACAATTTTCCATTAGTAAGGAAGTATTAGAGTTTCATCCTATTAATATGATCCTATAAATGCGAAACTTTATGAGAATGTATGATAAAAAGAAAGAAAGTGATGTACAGTAAAACATGGTAAATACAGAAGAGGGGTGAATAGATACTATGAACAATTTCCTAATACTTATACTCTTCTGTCTCCATCATTTTTCGATCCCTATTTGCTACTCTTTCACGAAAAAACTACTGGGCATTGGACAGATTTGGTACAGAGACAGATTTATAGAACGGGAAATCGCTGCCGGAGCTAGTAGTAACAGAAAATGTCTGAATTACCTGAATGATAGTTATAGACACGGTATCTGGCTTGATGTCCTGTAGCATCTTCTGGTCGTCGGTGAGTTGCTCCATATTCTCCATATTCCTGTAATGCCAGCGCATACAAAACAAATAAATATAAAGTTCTATAGACATTGTGCATTTATAATGAGGTAGATAAATTTTCTATTAAACACATTTTTTTGAGAAGGGGACTGTTGATGTTGTCTTTTAACTCGTCTACATAATAATCTAATATTTAGTGATATTAACAAACAATCTCGAGAATCGTCGAGTACCGTCATTATAGACACAATTATAGAACAATAGGTTGCGGTCACCGGTGACCGCTTGGTGTTTGACAGTTTAAATTACACCATATTGTAGTTGTCTTAGGTTGATAGTCCTGATAGGATCCTTTTATCCCGATTAAATGCTCTTATGGGATAAAACAGTCATCGTATTCTACGCGGAAGAAGTCGCGGGCAACTGATAGTATTAAATAATTCAATTGCCACTTCAATATGATGTTACCACATCTGCAGTACCTTCAAATACGTATATGCTTTGGAGTCGCAGTAACCTTCCCAAATGAAATGGAGTACCATAATAACAAGAAGTATTATAAACTTACTTCCTACTGCCAGAGTGGAAGCGGCCGCCTTCACCACGAATCCTGTTCATTGCGTGCCTGTGTCGCGACTCGTGTAAATATTTCTGGAAAAAGAAATTAGTTTGTGAATTACATAATATTATAGAAGAGCTTTTTGTGAAATGGTGGTGAGGTAAACAAGTAGACAGATAATCTGATGGTAAGTGGAGAGTAAAAGCAAATCTTCAGAACTACTGTTTTAAATTTGTAAATTATATTTGTGTTTGTTAGTTCATTTAACTTCCATAAATGGAAGATGGCTAAGCAGGAGTAGCTAGTTTAACAATACTTACGGGTCTCTCCTTAGGTATCTTGCCCTGTTCATGCAGCTTGGCTCTGGCAGCGCGTCGCTTGAGGATGCGTTTGTACTGGCGCGCGTTGACGTACAGAAGCGGCTCCTCATCATCTCCGGCCGTTGAGGAGCACGCACCTTCCGACACAGATGTGCTCGCACCAGCATTGCTGTTGTTTACCATCTAAAATAAGTCATCGTATGAAAAATCATGGTTTATTTAATACATATATCTTAATTTTAGGTTTAGTAGTCCAAACTGAAATATAAAATACGTTTTCTAATGTATCATATTTTTTTTATTGGAAGTTTCTGTGATAAATGTTAAGTTTGTTCGTTCATCATACAGCCTAGCAAAACATGTGAAAAAAGATGCTATTTAATTAAAGTGTGACCTACCAACAATCCAACAGGATTTGGCTGGTTGACGATCTGCTGGGCCTGCACCGCATTGCCGAGTCCTGCTACTTGCACTAAATTACCATTCAGGTTGATCACTGAAACAGAACACGCATATTTATCATTTACTAGTCACTTCCTCGCTGTTTCACCCGCATTTATAGTCTTAATTACAATATTATATAAAGCCGAAGTTTGTTTTTTTGTTTGTTTGTTTGAACGCGCTAATCTTCGTAACTACAAGTCTGATTTGAATAATTATTTTTGTGTTGGATAGTGCATTTACCGAGGATGGCTATAGGCTATTAAACATCGCCACGACCAATAGGAGCTGAGCAGAGCGTGTGAAACCGCGCGGAAGTAGGTAGTAGTCTATGAGCCTTCCACAAAAATATCACTATTCAACAGGAAAAGAGTTATTAAAATCCGACCAGTAGTTGCGGAAATCAGCGCATTCAAACAAACAAATACTCTTCAGCTTTCATCATTTTCCGAGTTCAATAATTCCAACTGATCTAGAAGTTATTGGCAATGTCTTTGACCATCAGTACTTATAGCCGACATGATGTCCGACTTATTACAGTATAAAAACTGAATATATCTTACTGGTAGGCTGATGTATGATCTGGTGCTGATCAATGGTGGGTTGGGCACTAGCTGCCACTGGCTGGTAGATAAATGTCTGTCCATCTGGTGTCTGGACTAACTGCATCGGCTGTATGTTACCTCCTGCTGAAAAATTATGTACAAAACATTATTTGTAGATATCGGTCACATATATTATCACAATAATTAGGATGCAGCCATACTCTTAAAAAAAAAAAACATTCATACTATGTCATAAGTTTAAAACAGACTTTTCACCTGGGATTTCACTTGTGTAGTTACAGGAAAATGTGGGACACTCATAGATACGACTTTTTAGCTGCCTAACAATCTACATAAACAAAAATCACATGCGAGCAAGGCTATAAGCAAGACTCTAATGGAAAGTATTTACTAAAAAAAACTATTAATTTAATACATAAATTTAAACTGTCAAACACCAAACGGTCACCGGTGACCGCAACCTATTGTTCTATAATTGTGTCTATAATGACGGTACTCGACGAGTTAAAATATATTCAGTAAGTTAGTTGCTTAATGAACTGGATAATGTTTAGTTAAATATAGTGACAAGTATACAAATTAGTTTATAATATATATTTTTTTCAATTTTACGCACCTTGAATGCTAGATATAGGAACAACTTGCAACTGTTGTAACTGTTGACCACTTGGTGTCGCCACCTGAAATTACATATAAAACATTTTGTTGAATGATACTGGCAAGTATAAGATTCAATGTTAAATGAATGAGATATAAACAGATGTGATTTAGGTTTAATTCAGTAATGGATCATAATACAAATTTTAGATTATCAGTAACCTGAGTGAGTACTCTCCTCGGATTTCAATAAATCTTTATCCCACAATACAGTGATTGTGACAAAGATACACTTGATTGCCTACGTAAAACATCTGTTTATTAGCTTTAATGCATAAATAGAAAGTGTGTATGATCTTCAAATGAATTAGAATATAAAATAATGATACTACTACCTGGATTTGTGGTGTCCCAATCTGATTGCATGTACAGTTAAAAATATGATTTAAAATGGAGATAACTCTTAAATTGTCACTCTGAGTACTCAATCAAAATTAACAATAAATTCTTTTTAAATCGTCAAGTGACAATTTAAGAACAATGAAAGAATGATTATAGGATATACATATTTATAAAAATAAGATAGAATTGTAAATTAAAAAAATTGTAAGGAAAAGTAACTATGTTAGGTAAGTTAATAAAACATTAATTTGACTTGACCGTTATTCGAAGCTTATTTAATTGAGATAGGCCTTCCGCTTCCCTCCTTCCGCTTTTCCTATATGTCTATCTCTTTCTACTACGTCACTTCCATTTGGCAGTGGTGGGGAGGCTTGCTAAGAGAGACTCGCCATTTTTATTTCATTGAGTCTCATTACCAGGCAGAGCTTGACTATAAGCTTCGAATAAGGTAAGTAAATTAATATGCGTTTTCGAAATAAAAATGGCGAGTCTCTCTTAGCAAGCCTCCCCACCACTGCCAAATGGAAGTGACGTAGTAGAAAGAGATAGACATATAGGAAAAGCGGAAGGAGGGAAGCGGAAGGCCTATCTCAATTAAATAAGCTTCGAATAAGGTAAGTAAATTAATATGCGTTTTATTGGTAGGTAAAACGCTTCCATTATGTATGTCAGTAAAGTAGTAAATTAATCAATAAAATAAAATTACATTACCTGTATAGCCGGAGCACTAGATGGCACAGCATGTACAACAATTTGTTGACCGTTAGGGCCCTGAATCATGTGTGGAGTGTTATTCATCTGCAATACTTGCAGCTGCTGACCATTTAGGGTCATCACCTGGGCTCCGTCAGAGCTCTGAAGCTGAGCGTGCTCCATCGTCGATCACACTAAAATTAATGATTAATAATTTTAGAGTAATTATTTCTAATTGCTTGTTTATTTATCATCAGAGAGTTACCTTTATTAAAAATACCACGGTTCCACAAATAAATCAAAACCGTCTAAAAGCAAAGTTCAGCAGTACAAAGTTGTAATGCCGTTTTTTAAATATTAGGTACTTGTGATTCCAATATAAATATGCGTCACACTTATTTTCATATAGATAAGAACGAAGGTTGCATGATAGTGATAATATTAAACGAGATTTGATCCGCGTAATCGCCTTACAGTAAAATAGGTATTGGAACTTCCACTTTGTTATATATATATTTTTACCTTCTTTGATTTCTGGTAAGAATCGAATCTAATAATCAAGACGAAAACAAAACCAAAATACTCTTGAAGATGTGGAATTCCGTCAGGGAAACTAAACACGTCACTGTTGCGAGGCCAAGGAATGCAACGTAACCAAAATGGCTGCTACTTTTCACGTAATTTCGTCAGACATTGTTGCAATTTTTACTTGAAATCTCATAGTTTTTCCGTATTTCCAAACAAATACCGGCACAGCCATCACAACAGAATATTCGGTGAAAATAAATTGTAAACTTACATTGGGTCGTCACTGGTTTTTCGATGATTGGTTGACAAAAGATAGACCAATGGCCGAAGTCAATGATCGCAAGAACGCAGTAGATTGGTTCGGCGCATTACCACTCCCAAGGAAGCTCGCTCCCCTGCGCTTCCTCAGCCGTCCAATCGTTCACGTAATTAACACATTGTCTATGGTTTAAATGAACCTATCTCAGTTTTCTAGCAAAAATAAATATTTTATTTGATTTTATCGTATTTTATGACTAGGAAATTATAAGAATATCATTTTATTTTAATGGCCGTGGCTATAAATACAATATAAACATTTTTTGACAGCTTTTTCAAAGTCCTTCTTGGTCCACATCTAAAAATATTTGAATAATGAATAACTTTATACAAACTTGCAACAATGGATTAAAAAATTATTTCGACAACAATATTTGTATAAAAAGCAATCATTATATCATATAATTTGTATTAGTTGATTGATTAATATTAATAATATTAGTTGAAAACCACAATCGAAGACCTAACTGCGAAATGATAAAAAAAATTGTCTTTGGAAACTTCTATTTTGTTTTTACTTCCATTGTGTTCCAGTTACAAAGAAAGTTAGCATTATGCTTCTTATTTTCTCTTTCAAATACGTGGTAAACTCTGTAACGAAGAAAGAAAAAAAGTTTTTTCATGTTTAAATTATGTCTTTACCTTTTGTCAAAGTCAAAACGAAATAGTTTATGGTTGCCATTTTGTTTTGCGAAAACGACGCTTGTTAGAAACTTAGTGAGATTACAATTAGAAAGTGATTTGTGAATAAATCTACGAATGTTATTGTAAAAAAACGCTAACGTAAGATGAATTCGACAATATCTGATGATTTATCCCGTGAGCATTTAACTTTTGAAGCAGTCAAGTGTTTAAGTAGGTTATGTTTTAAATATCGAAATTTGTCAAGATTCAATTGTTTTTCAATGACAAACTAAAATTATGTGGGTTTTTGCAGAAAATATATCTTCGAAGACGCAATCAGTGACATTGCTGCATAAGGAACTCTTAGAAATAAACTTATCAATAACTGCTTACATTCAGGAAAGTAAAAAACGACTTGCAAGGCTTCGTCTAGACTTGGCACACGACGCAATAAACTCTCAAAAGGTCGTTGAAATATTATCTGATAAGTGTAAGTATTTATATAAGTCATGCCTATCTTCCCAGCAATAACAATAACATAAACATTGTAGTTGTTTACAAAAAGTTTTGCTATTTGCTACCTTCATTACCTACTTTAGTTATCTTTTTTTTGTTTGTGAAGGTAGTTAGGCACATAATATTTATCTGAACCACTATCTTAGAATTAGTAGAATAGTATTTTAATCTTCGATCAACAATAACAACTAGATATCGGGTTGGCGCAAGAAAATCGTCTCGACAAATAAGAGCTCACTTGAGAAGTGAGCTCTTATTTTGTTTAGTATGCTCCAAACACGGCCAACGTACTCACGTCTCACGATGCCGCAGTGAGTAATTGCAAGTTGCAAAAATAATGACCGAAAAAGCAGTGTAACGCCCGGAGTGTCTTACTTTTGATAAGTACATAAAGTATAAGTTATATTTTAAGCTTTTTAACTAGTAAATAATATCAAATTAGATAAAATTACCAATTATCAACCAACGCCACCAATGTTTGTGCGTGTGTTGGCGATTCCTTGGCCAAGCCTCGCCAACATTTGTTTAAACAGAACAGTGGATGCATCGAGTCGATTTGTATTGAAAAATAAAATTGTATTGTTTCTTGCTCGTTCTTCTCCATAGGAATCTACACCTTGGAATGAGCAAATAGCTTCACTTTTAAATTTATATTGTTGACGTTCAAAAGTGCCTTCCTGGTCTAACTGAAATAAATGATTTTGACTTAGACTTAGACTTTTAATGATAAAGTAAATAAACATATCATACACAAAAACGTACCGCTAATAAAAATTAGTGATGTATACTAAGATCCCGAAATCTTAATTTTCATATTATAAAATTATTTTAGTGTCCAACGCGACTCCATACATACCTCCTATAGCGAAATTCGAAATTTGAAGAAGCAAAACGAAACAAAACAAAACGATATAGATCGCAAGACAATAATGGAAAAATTATCTTTATTTGTTCAAGGTTAAAGTTGAATTCAAACTAGATAGTGTATAACTTATGTCTTTTAATTTCTACATGACAGGAGTAAGAAAATACTTTTCTCGTCTTATGTGACAAATGGTCGTAAGTATTAGATAATATTTTGACGATTTATGACTATATTATTAGGTGCCATGGTTGTCATTAGGTTGAACTTAAAAACTATTTTAAATCATTTTTCTCTGTTTGTTATTTTTTACTATTATTATTAACGCGGACAGAACTGGAGCTTGATTTTGTACGTAACCCTTTATCTAGTTGTTATTGTTGATCGAAGATTTTAATCTATAGAAAAAAAAAACCAGTTTTATCTCATATGAATGATCAGGTCCCTTTTTTTCAGAAAATGTCATCACCAGCAACTCCTTGTAAACGCAAACCAAACCAATCAAAACTTAAAAAGACACCTCCAGAAAATAATAACAATACCAATAACAAGTTTTCTGAGCGTCAGCAGGCTCGATCTTTCATCACATGGTATAAGCGCATGATTGACAATGAAAGATACAACTTAGCCCTGTACCTATCTGATGATGCAATGCTTGAGTGGTTTGGCCGAACAATAAAAACAAGAAAGAAAGTTACAGCTTTCTTAAAATATGATATGCAATGTTCTCGCCATGATTTCACATCTGTTGAAAGCATAGACAAGATCCAAACTAGACAAGAAACTTTGCAAAGGTTTGTTATTTTCTAAATGTCAATTAAAATTAGTATTTATATGTTTTGGTTTCTTTTGTTACTAAATCCTACATACTACCCATTAACAATCCTAAAATGCTCACAATTTCCTGTGAACTTTAATTCTACTATATCCTTATTTGACTATCAAGAAAAAAGTAGTTAGAAAATTTGCTTTAAAATCCTTAATATATTTTCATAAAAATATAATTATTTCAGAAAAAATGACTCAATCCTGGCTAGTCCACACCATTCCCCTGAGATTATCAGGACTAAAGAAAGAAGTCACAAAAGGAGACTGCTTAGATCTAACTGCAACAGCCCTGAATGGGCTGAGGGTTGCCAGCCTCAAGAAGAAATTAGCATAGACAATAACCAAAAGACTGACAACACTGGCCCTGATGAAGGAAAAGTTAAGAAAACGGATCACAACCCACTTAAAAGGTCGTTCCCTGAGGATAATTCAGAGATAAGTAGTAAGGGTGATGGTATGCGTAAAGTGAAGAGGAAGTGTGTGTCGATCACACCTCCCAACCTCGAAGTGGGACAGGGTGACTGTCTACCTTCCACTAGTGGCACAGACTCTGATAGGTCACATGATGCACTCAATGCTCAGTTGCCTAAGTTAGCTGTAGAATGTAATGGTTACATAGAATTTACTAGAACAAGGAATAACCGAAGCACTGAAGCTATGAAGTATGAGAGGAAGTGTAAAGTACAAATTAGTTATTCTGAAGACCCTCTCAATGTTGGAGAGTATATAATTTGGGCATTACGGTACACAGATGAGAGTAAGTGCAGGAGGAATTTGCTGGCTGCTTTTGAGGAAGTGGCTAAAGAAGAAGCCTTGAAGAAAGTTTAAAAAAATAATTTTACTGTCAAATTCCATATGTAAATAACTAATGTTGCCAAGTTTGTAATAATTGTTATGAAATAGTTTTAATATTTGTTATTTTATAGTAAGGGCTCTAGGGATCATTTTAGTAGCAAGAAGACTTCCTAAAGCTATTGAATTCATTAAATGAAAATGATTCCTATTATCCTTGCAACATGATAATTTTAAGCATACTATGCATGTTACTGTTAATTGTATTTTATAACTGAGTTTGGCAGTAAAATTAAGAAAGATGCAATTTTTACAACTTGTAAACCATGTGATATGAAGATATTGTATTTTTCTATGTTAGAGCATTTATTTTTATGTATGTTTATGATACTGTAGTATACAATGTGACCAAGTTATACCTCTTGACATGAATTTGTACTCTAGTAATAATTTTATAACATATTTTGTTACTGTATTCTGTACTTGACCAAAGTTTTTAATTAACACATCTAAGATTCTTAAGTGACAAAGCCAATACATTTATATTAAGTTTGCCTACTTTATTGTTTGCCTCTTATAGGTACTTTATGGATTAAAGTAGATTTAACAGTATTACAAATAATGTACACATTCCTATTTGCATGTACACAAAAAAAAAATATTTTTTTTCATTTGAAAATAGCTTTTACATGTGTCTGCTAAAATAAACACTTGTGCATACAGCTTTGTATGTTTTATGAATATACTGTCTCTTTTTCTTGATATTGTAATCATTTTATTTCATGTAAGAACAAGGAACCATCATTTAACGATCAGCAGATATTGATTGGGACTATTTTTATTGGGAGAATGGTCTTTATCAATTTGATTGATCTTAATTCATGGTTCTAGTGTCTCAAATGTACACTCATTCTCTGTCAATGCGTTTTCTTTTTACCACCGACTTCTAGCCTGTATTAAATAGGAATAGTCTATAATTACGAAGTTTAGATCTTAGTGTTAAACATAGTTTTACTCGAATCTTTTGTTATGGAAGCCGTAAAATATTTTATGTCGAATACGCTTCAGGTTTTATTAGGAGTGTAATTCAGTGGGTAGTAATAGCGATATTAACTTACCTAGTGCAAAAACACTTTACAGTGTTATATAAAATGTACTGTGCTTATTTTATTTAATCTCATAATGATCAAAAAGGTAGGTTCACAAATCATGATGGTATATACAATGCACGTTTACGGGTCATGATTTGAAATTGCAAGTTGGTCGTGAAGTTAACATTGCATTGTGAGGGATATATTCGAAGTGGCGGTATGATATTTGAGACTGTCTTCGGACAATGGTTTCATGGAAGTAACTTGAACTAAGTGGTCATATCACAGTTTGTTGCTGTGGTGTGCATTACTTCGGAATCTGATCGTGTCTATTATAGTATGTACGGTAGGAATTCGGCATATTATTATACAATATTGTAAATGAGATTGCCAATTGTTAGTTTTAATTACTTTAAGTTTTGTGTTGTTAATTCATTACTTGTGAAGTAATGGCGATGGGAATAATTTTGTTTTGATTATGCTAGACATGTATAATAAGGTAAATAAAACTTGTTTAGATATATTTCCGACTTTTATTTCTTATATGGAAAGTTATGACTGATTGACTGCGCGGTCGCCTTACTGGACTGGCTGCTGTGCAACGTATCGTGCGTTCGATTCCCGAGGAACACGAGTTTTTTGTATTGTTCTCGGTTAGGACTTGTATCTAATGTGTAATAATTCAACACATGTTTGTTTACCCAACGGCGACCACGTCAGTACAGGAGTTTCTAGTATCAGAACAAAAAAATTGTTTTTCCTTGTGGTGCCGTATTGATTGCATTGAAACACTTTTACGTTGAAAATGGATTTAAACTATCATTCCACCGACTTCAGTATGTACCATAAATTCAAAGCGCATAGCATGACCTCCCGATAACTCCCGGTAATGAGTCTATTTTTATGACTGAAGCGATAGCCTTTTACGTGACAGTAAAATATGTTACCTACAATTAAAATTGTTGGAATACACGAGCTACATGCGAATGTAATTTTCCCATCAATTAGTATTGAAGAACAAAGGCCTTCATAGTTTCATACAAGAATGTCGTACACGCCACGGGGCGACCTGAATATTTTTATCATGCAGTCTACCTAATGCATTATTTAGAAATAACATACTTGTTACAGTACAATTTGATTGCAAGGTTAGCGCAGTGGCTGGGCAACGCGTCGCTGTCGTGGGTTTGATCCCCGCATGGATCAATTCTTTGTATGATCCTGGTGTAAATAGTAAATGCCCCGCCCCCAAGACCCCAACCCACGACAAGTGAAAATCCCTCATGCATAAGAGGCGAGCGTCTTAAACACCCGAGCCACCACTTTTACTAATGTTGAACAATAAAAGAGTGTATAAAACTTTTAATAGCCAACATAATGTGGTAGGTTTGAATTTTAACGACAAATTGATAAAAATGCAATAAAAGAACCGATAAAAAAGGAAAAATCTATACAATTTATTCCTCAACTATAAAAGATAATAATTATGAAAACAATACTAACATTAGTCATAATAATACATGTACATTATAGGACAATATAATTTAGAACATGTTGCACATTTCATCAACTACCATAGTATTGGATCAGTTTACTAAGGACTTAAGGAGGCATATAAATTCGAATCAATTTAATGGATACAAATTGGAAAATTGAGCAAAATAAATAAATTACACATGTCAGATCTTAATACACATTTCTGGCACCATCATGGCATTTATTAACTAGCAAAATCCAACATCCATGTACTAACATAACTTGTGATTTACGAAATACATCTAATATTACCTCTATAGAGTATGAATTATGGCTTCATTTCGAATTGCACAAAATTAAATTATGTAGTTCAATCCACCCTACCTTAATTGCATAGAATAATAGTTATTTATTAAAATAGAATAATAAAATACATTCATGGAACAATGACAGTAGAAAGGCATTCACTATCACCTGTATATGTAAATGCAATTAGGTTCAATAATTAAATCATTAAAAATATCTATAAGGCAGATTAGACACATTAACAATTTTACACACATGACAAAAAGTGATAAAGAACAATGGGGATTTCCTAAAATAACTATCAATTCCAAAAACTCATTTATTTGTTATAACAGTCTAAAATTCACTAATACTAAAAATGGAAACAATGATAACATTATCATAATGTATTGTTGAATTAAATATCATGCCATTACAGGGCAGTGATTTGTTGTTATCAATCATTTTAACCTAATTATTAAATCTAAGGCATATACCTGAAATCACATTAAAATTCCATTTCTAACCACATCAATAACAATATACCAAAGGGAAAAAATTTCATTATGACTTGCATGCCATTTAGAGTGGATGTGATTCTTCCTCATGAGCAGGATGCATCACAGTCGGGGCAATGCTGTGCAGCTTACTGTTGACATCCCCACAACTGCTGCTCATAAGGAAGAGTCCCTGTCTGACTCGAAACTAGTACAGCTTTTCTCAGTATATTCAAGTGAGTAAACTGTAATTATTATTTAATTCAGTATGATTCGCAATACTTTTTGTAAAAACATGAATATAATTCATATAATTGCTTTGAAAGATGAATTAAGTTTCATAAGAACTTTCAAGTATATAATACAAGTTGTTATTATGTCCACTATTTAGCTTACAGCCTTTCTACCATCAGCCTCATACTTTGTCCTCTTGGTAATTGATTATCACACCACCAGACCACCACAACATAAACTAAGTATACTACTACTTATTGTAACTGAGGATCAAATTCATTGCCATCATTCAAGGCATTTGTATCTTCTATTTCTTCTTTAGCATCATTATTTTCCAAGACTGGTTCATTTATAGGATTGTGGGCACTTAGGGCTGGGCTTATTTTTGGTGGTTGAGCAGCTGGAGTCACCTTGGAGGCTACAGATGAATTGGCAGCACTTTTGGTGGTCAATGCTATTTTCAACCTCTCTATCTCTTTCTCTAACTCATCAATCTTCTGCTTTCTTTCAGCTAACTGTGTTGTTAGCGTGTCTTTTTCCAGTCGCAAGGTCTCCACAATAGCTGTCTTGCTCACCTGCAGGTTCTTTAACGACTGCAACTCTGTCTTACATAGTTCCACATCTACCTTCGTGTGGTTAACCTGACCTTCAGATTTTGTAAGCTTAGTCTTGAATCCTTCTATATCATCAGTCAATTTAGACTTTTGTTTATCTAATTCGTTCACCTTGGTCAGATAACTGTCGCGTTGTTCGAGCAAAGTTAATGACTCCTCCATGCAGGTTGTCTGTTGCTTGGAGCATTCCTGAAGTTGTATACTTATTTCTGAAACTCTGTTTCGCAATACATTTTCCGCACTCCAGCTATTAAATAGTGAAAGTAACAACAAAATACACACAGCAAACACAATATACATCGGCCAGCGACGCATGTTTTCTATGCCCATGTTACTTTAACAATATAAAATGTAGTTTGTGTGAATGAAACGCGATTGGATAAAGTTAACAGTTAATTTATCAAGTTTTTTACTTTATTTCGACAAAAAAATAGCCTAAATTATTTGACTTTGACAGATCTCCAAATGTTACAGTGACAGACACCAAATGACAAAGGACACTAAATTGACACCATATTGACACAGACAGATATTCCTACAATTAAGAGTTTCATTTTGAATAACATTTAAAAATTATATAAATAATTGGAAAGGACAATAATTAATTGACTGTGAGGAGCAAGTTTTCGATTAAGAACTGCTCGTAATCTCATACTCCTACAAATATTTTTTCTAAAATATTATTTCAGGGCTTGTGTTATTATTTAGTACAAAAACAGTAAAAGCATTATGTGGCAATAATATTGAAATTCTGTTTATAATATTATTTTTGACTTCATGTTTCTTGTTAATAAGATAAGTTGTCATTTTTTTCTAATTAATATTGTAACTGTGTAATGCAGAGCTGTGCAGAGCAAAGAGGTTAAAAAATTTTGAAAGTTATCTGTGCACTGGCAATTTGGTCACGTGACCTGCTCTTGTTGCCCATAGACAGCAATCCTTCATCGACTTCTTTGGTTTATAGCCACGAGGTTTTTAGAATTATTTCAATTTATTAGTGAAATAATAAAAAGATACTTCATTTTATTCGAACAAAATGCCGCCTAGTAACCCATTGCCACCCAAAGAAAATGCACTTTTCAAAAGAATTTTGGTAAGTTCGATTGTAAACACAATTCGGTTTGGTGGTGCTTGTCATTCTTAGCGATTATCTTCAATTTATAAAATAATGCAAATCATATTCCACGCGTTTTCATGGGCTTTCTTGAGCCTCAATCTTCTACAAAATTATTTACAGCAACAATATTATTCTGTGTAATTTATTTACATTAATATACCGATGTATAAAATGTACCAGGCCAGGACCCTTCTGGGTGCATCTAATAATAGAGGTTAAACACTTAATGATAAGTACATTATTATCTTTCAGCGCTGCTACGAACACAAACAATATAAAAATGGCTTGAAATTTGCCAAGCAGATATTGTCTAACCCTAAATTCGCAGAGCATGGAGGTAAGTTTCCATACTAATAGTAAATCATAATAATACAATGACAAAACAATAAATGTTAGATTAAAAACTTAATCAATTTAATAAATATATAAGTCTATAAACAGGCAACTGTATGGTGTATTTATTAAGAAATGTTATTGAAAAAAGCAACATTATCATTGATAAATTTCAACCACATCCTCTTTGCTGGAGTGTTGAATTTGTGGTATTGTTTTCAAAACATAAGTCTGCAACTGTTTACTCTTTCTGTATTTGTTACCAATTTTACATAACTGACTGTGTCCATACTCACTCATTGATTTACTAAATCTTTATAAGCATGAAGCAAAAAATAAAATAATGAAATCAATGGTATCATATATGTAAATACATTTTCTAAACTGCACAGATTTCTCATAGGATGAATTTATTATTTTTCAGAAACATTGGCTATGAAAGGACTAACTCTGAATTGCTTGGGTCGCAAAGAAGAAGCTTATGAGTATGTCCGCCGAGGACTCCGCAATGACCTTAAGTCTCCCGTGTGCTGGCATGTGTATGGTCTGCTCCAGCGATCTGACAAAAAATATGATGAGGCAATTAAATGTTACCGTAATGCTCTCAAGTGGGAGAAGGAGAACATTCAGATTCTCCGTGATTTGTCATTGTTACAAATTCAAATGCGTGACTTGGAAGGGTACAAAGTGAGTGTTGTTTACATACTGTGTAATTTGTAGAGTGAAAAGTTGATAATTACTTATTAGATGATTGCATCATTGACACATTAATACTATGTTAGTTATTGTTAAGATCATTATTTAATGCAACGCTATTTCAATACATTAAGAAAATGAATGGATGATATAGTTGAAGTTTTGAACACTGGGATTTTGTGAAAAAATCTGTGAAAACTGGTAGTGCTGTATACTGCTTTTATTAGTTTTGAATGGAAATGATTTCAAGCTCGATAGAAATGTTAATCTTATAATATTTAATAATGTTTGCCAGACTCAGAATCCTCATCCAATGCTCGACCAATGGTCTTGCGATAAAGTCAGCCTTATGACTAGTATAATTATAATTACATGAGTTTCTTTTCTGATATCATCATTTGGAGTCATTATTTTGTCATTTGGATTTTGTCTGTTTACATATGACTCTCTTAACAGTAAACTATAATTTATTTGTTTACAAAATAAATGGGATTCTTCCTACCAAATTGATTCTACCTATCTGTATTTTTTACATTATTGAGGAAACATGTTTTTTATGTTTACAATTAATATTGTAGGAAAATCATCTTTGTATAAATAAGGAACTGGGCTACTAATTTTTTTTTAATCTGGATGCAATGCATACTGTATTGTAAACTACAGCATGTTACAGCCAGCTGGCAATGTTTGGATTTCCGTGGTAGGCAATGTGTTTCATTGGTAGTTGAAGTTCTTGGTAACAACAGAAACTTCGCAGAAGAGCCTAATGTATTAGCCACGGCCTTAATGGAATTATAAAGAGTCATACCAACTCGGTTGGGCAGTAATAAAAAGTAAAAGATGAACTAAATGTGTAGAAAATCTCTGATGGTCGGATTTGTTAATAAGAGTATCAATGATCTTTATAATTAACCTTTAAAACTCATGCATCAATTTAATTTTGTACCTAATGCTTGTACGGTTGGTTTAGCAACTGAGGGCTTAGAACGAGACCGCGTTCGGCGCTTTGATTGGCCGGCTTCAATGAACCAACCAATCGGAACGCTGAACGCGGTCTCGTTTCGAATACATTAAATGTAAGACAAACTCGTACTAAGGCCTTTAACAGGACTATAGTTTCCTGCATAATGTATTTTAATAAGGTGTTTGTGAATGGTCCCAAAACTCTAGAAAAGCCTAATTTAAAACGTTTTTGTCGAAAACTATTTATTTCATTGGAACATTCCACTGATTTCCACACTAAATTTTTTTTCAGGATACCCGTTACCAGTTGTTTATGCTCAGACCTACACAGAGAGCGTCCTGGATTGGTTTTGCTATGAGTTATCACCTTCTTGGTGACTATGAGATGGCAATCAGCATCCTGGATGCTTTCCGTACAAATCAGATGAAGGGTACTGATGATTATGAGCATTCAGAGTTGCTGTTGTACCAGAATATGGTGCTTGCGGAGTCTGGACAGTATGAAAGAGCTTTGCAGCATTTACAAAAGTTCTCGTCGCAAATCCTTGACAAGTTATCTATTAAGGAAACCTCTGGCGAATATTATTTGAAGTTGAAGAGGTTTGTGGCTATATTCAATATCTTCACATACTAATTAATAAATATTTTGATATCACTATTGAGAAAGTTCATTCAAGATATTAGTATCATTATGTGTAGTTTAATTACGACACTTTCGTTTTTTTGTGACTTGTTTGTATACGTCTGTTCTCTTCATACGCGCATCACTCGATACTCTAGGTATAAACTGAAATTGAACAATAAATGTAGATGTATTTGGTTTAGTTTTAAATACTCTCCCTAATACTGCTGTGTTTTATATTTATTACTAGCGACCCGCCCCGGCTTCGCACGGGTGCAATATGCATGTATTATACATACAAACCTTCCTTAAGAATCACTCTATCTATTAAAAAAAACCGCATTAAAATCCGTTGCGTAGTTTTAAAGATCTAAGCATACATACGGACATACAGCGAAAGCGACTTTGTTTTATACTATGTATTGATAGTTATTAAGTTCCAGCACAACTGTGCTAAGGATTATCCAATTCAAATAATTTTATATCACACAAATTAGTTCAATAGTTCTTACAGTTTCAGTAAGACTAAGGATTAACAATTGATTTGTACTTCTCTATTTTCAGATTTAAGGAAGCAGAATCTGTTTATGAAGACTTACTGAAGAGAAACCCTGAAAATGTGATGTATTATGAAAAGTTAATAGAAGCTAAACAACTTGTTGATCCTGATGAGAAAGTGGCCTTCTTTGAAGTTTATAAGTGAGTTTTATTCTTTATTTCATTATTACCATGTATGGAATCTACTACCACTGCAGAGGCGATTTCAGAGGCATTCTGGACAGGACACCTTATTTCCTTGTTAAAAGTTTAGACGATAGGATTTTGTAAATAGGCAAAAAAGCAGCACTTACATGTCATTAAAAAAAATCTTAATGAGCTCACATTTCCTAACTGGCTACTCTGAGAAGAAATGCCGAAACAAATTCAGAGGTCTGTTTCTTTTAAAGTCTAGATAAATATTAAAAAACAATATATGTGAAAACTATGCAAGTTTGTTCTGTAGTCAACATGATGTTCCGTAGCAAAAGGTAGGATTTTTCAACCTAGCCAGGCTATCATACTTGGCGGGCTACTGGCTAAGTCCTTAACTCTACCGGTGTTAATTTGCGTGCAAACTTCACCTGCGATGTAGAATTCGTTGCGTCATCTACTTAATGACAGGTACATAGGTAAAAAACTCTTGCACTAGGCAGTTTTTTCGAAATACAAAATTCATTTATTTTTTACTAGCATTTACTCGCGGCTTCGCTCGTGTCACAAAAGGATAAAAAGTAACCTATGTGACATATACCAATACACACAGAGCCATCTATACCAATACTTTTGTTTTCCCTATATCAAATTTTTCCGGGATAAAAAGTACTCTATTATTAAATCGGGACTTCTAACTTTACGTCTGCAAAAATTCAAAGCAATCGGTTTGGTAGTTACGGCGTGAAAGCGGAACAAACAAACAAACTCACTTTCCGATTTATAATATTAGTAAGGATGTACGTTATTTTTTTTTACTACAAATAAATAGTGTATCAGTTTACTCTTATTATTTATTTTTTATGGAATAACAGGCATAAATAATGGCAATATAGCACCGATATTATCCATTTATATGGTGTATTATGTATGAGCATTATCTGTGACGCGTATAATGCGACATTATAATACATACATTATTACATTTGCCAGCCCACTTACATAATGTGCGACAGATCGATAATCATACTGCTAATAGACTTAATGAAACTGTTTTGTATATATTTAGTGTTTTATCGAATATGGTACAAGGCCTTATTTATTATCTCTTATTCTTATGTCGAATTGCTTTTGTAACGGAATTTAGTAACATCATGCCGTTTTTTATCCCCGAAGGGGTGGGCAAATGCACTACGGCACTTAATGTAACACCCACTTTTCACTATTTATGTTATGAGTCCCATGTAATAGTTGGTGAGCATATTGCCATATACCGGGCACTATTCCAGACTCCGTGCTACTACTGAGATTTTTTAAAAACCCATTAATACTTTTCCCGACCCGGGAATCGAACCCGAGACCTCTTGCTCGGGAGTCGCACTTGTGACCACTCGGCCAACGAGGCAGTCTTGAAGATTATAAACGTTGTTGAGCTAAAAAGTGGCTTATGACATTATTTAAGGGACTGTTTGTAACTGTTAGATTATAGTAAAGTACCTATTTAGGTTGAGCTTAAGATTATGATAAGATATAAAAACGTAAAACTTTGTATTTGAAGATAAATATGATGGAATCGCTAGACTTTGTAGTCCTTTTTTCTTGAAACGCCCAAATGAAATAATTATTTATTCAAAAACTTTATAGTAAACAATATTACATATATAATATTAACGTTTTCAGGAAAGAATTCCCTAGAGCGATAGCGCCGCGCCGGCTACAGCTGACGGAGGCGCTTGCGCAGCCTGTGTTCGAGAAACTAGTTGATGAGTACCTTAGACACGGATTACATAAAGGAATACCCCCGCTATTTGTTGATCTCAGGTATGTTTGCTATTATAAAACTAGTAGTTTTTATTACCGGTTAAACCTCCCCAAGCCTTATACGAATATTACAAGACTAATATTTGTCAAATCTGTTCAGCGGTTATCAAGTTTTAGTGAGACTAACGACCGGTAATTTTATTTATAAAGATATACTATGTCTCTTTCCTAAAGGAACCTGCTTGCTAAGGGCGGAATTTAATAACATACTATCTCATTCAAACATCTGTGGATTAAGATTTCTACACAACTAATGTCAATGCTATCCATATCTGCGGATTTTGAATTAAAATTATTAGCCGTTAGTGGCTTGACTTTAGAAGTTTTACAAGAAAAAAATTGCTGAAATATTTCTATGAAGACTGATTACATCTTATCACCCCCTTGGTCATTTTCACAAGGAATCGTCGAACTATTCTAAAAAAATCCTTCAACAATTCCAGGTCGTTATACGCAATTCAAGACAAAGCAGAAACAATAGAGAAATTAATTCTCCAATATTTGGAGAATCTTTCGAAAAATGGTACTTTTGGCCCGGACCCTAGTGAAGTGAAACAGCCGGCGAGCGCGTTGCTATGGGCGTATTATTACGCCGCGCAACACTTCGATTACAAGAAGGACACGGACAGGGCTCTCCAATACATTGATGCAGCCATCGACCACACACCCACCCTCATAGAATTATTTATTGTTAAAGGAAGAATTTATAAGGTTAGTTTAGTGTTTGTGTCCAATTATGTGGTAATCTGTTGTGGATTGTACTCATGTATGGCAAATTTTTAAAATAGAAAATGTGTATTTGTATATTTTATCGCCTGGGCTAGTCATCATGGCTTGGCTTGTGATAATAATTCTTTATTTATTAAATGAATTTGTTGATATCTACACATGTTTATGAATGATGTTTAATAAGTTTCAACCCATATGAGAGTACAAATTCCGTTTCATTTAAAAAAAAAATTACCCCACACTGAAATCTTCTCTTATGTCGTGGATGCTTTTACAAACATTCGATTTCATATACACGTGATATCCAAACGCGGATCAAAAATTAGTGGACTACACATATTATTAAAAGCGAACCATGGCTAGCAATATGAGAATGTCGTATATTTTAGTACTAGTACTAATAGATGTATGATATTGACCCCGCAGCACGCCGGCGACCCGGTGTCGGCGTACCAGTGGCTGGAGGAGGCGCAGGCGATGGACACGGCCGACCGATACGTCAACAGCAAGTGCGCGCGGTACATGCTGCGCGCCGGACATGTCAAGCGCGCTGAGGACATGTGCGCCAAGTTCACTAGAGAAGGTAAAGTTCCTTAATTAAACTAAACAAAAAAAAAAATTGAGCATTTGGTTCTGGGAGCGTCCCACCAAACGGCATTCAATGCAATGACTCAAATACTTTAGTTTTATAATACAGTGAAACCTGGTTAAGTGAGACATCAAGGGACCTGCAATGTCGTTTCACTTATAGAGGTATTCCACTTACCCAGTGCCTCATATACAGGTATAAATAAATATCTGTCTCATTTACAGAGGGTTCCATTAATAGAGGTGGACTTGGGATTACGTGTGGAATTTGTAGATAGAATAAGAACGAGTAAACAAATAATGTTATTTCAGTTACAGAGGTTTATGCATATAAAATTTACTCGCTGTCTCAGTTATAGAGGTAACTATGATGATAAATCGAAAGAACAAATCCCAGATATAGAGGTTTACCTCGTCCCACTAACAGAGGTAATTCAGTGCCAAAGTGTTGGGACCTCAGCATGAGTTCCAGTTATGGAGGTTTCTCACTTATCCAGGTCCCACTTAACCAAGTTTCACTGTATTAATATACTTTAGATACTCTTCACTACATAGTATAAAACAAAGTCGCTTTCCGCCGTCTGTCTTCCGCCATATGTATGCTTAGATCTTTAAAACTGCGCAATAGATTTTGATGCGGTTATAGAGTGATTCTTAAGGAAGGTTTATATGTATAATAAACGCATATTGCACCCATGCGAAGCCGGGAGAGTCGCTAGTACTCTATGAAAAGGATTGGCCACAGATAGCTTTAAAAAGAGACGTGTGGAAGAAGGGTAGGGAGGCCAATGCCCTGCGGTGGGACGACCATGCCTAAAAACAAATAAATAAAATACTCTTGCGCGGTTTCACTCGCTGCTCGGTTCTTACTGGTCGTAGCGTGATTTGCTATAGCATATTGCCTTCTTCGATAAATGCATAGCTTTTTAACCGACGCAAAAAGTGTCTCGTGTATCGTACATGCATTTATATTTGTCATATTGTCATATAATCAGTACTATAATAATTTCGGTACTATTTACGAATATATAATGAAATTGTGTAATACTAAAAGCCACGAGTCTGCTCCGTTACTGCAAAAAAAAAATATCCCATAAGATAAAAAACAAACATTTCAGTAAAATACCAAAAATTTATATATATTTATGTTTCCAGGAGTGCCAGCGACAGAGAACCTGAACGAGATGCAGTGCATGTGGTTCCAGACGGAGGCCGCGGCCGCGTACAAACGTCTGCAGCAGTGGGGAGAGGCGCTCAAGAAGGCGCACGAAGTCGATAGGGTATGTTATAGTATAAATATTACGTATCACTGTTTAAAAATAATGTTCCCTCAGTAAAAAACTTAATATAAATTCACATACACATCACACTTTGCATATTGAAAAGTACGTATAAAACTAATTGTATCCTATTACATGAAACTTATAAGGAAACTGTTGATAAAGTGATTTGGTATTGAAAAGTGCTCCTTTACGATGAATATAAGGCAAGATGTTGTATTACTTTAGTTTTAAACTGTCGCGCGAACGAGTGTCTTATACGCCGACGTCGGCGTTTAAGACACTCCGGTTAAGCAGTAATATTGAAATGTTATGACGCCAGATGGCAGCACCAGTCAGTTTTATAACTCTTTAACCGTTAAGGTTCAATAATTTCAACATACATCATGCTCATACATAATTACATACTCCTCCTTTTATTGAAATCGGTTAACAAACAATATATTTTATATTCTTACAGCATTTCTCCGAGATAATGGAGGATCAGTTCGACTTCCACTCGTACTGTATGCGCAAGATGACGCTGCGATCGTACGTGGGACTGCTTCGCCTGGAGGACGTGTTGCGTGCGCACCCGTTCTACTTCCGCGCCGCGAAGGTCGCCGTCGACGTCTACCTCAGGCTCGACCAGCATCCACTGCAGGACGCGCCGCAGACTGCTGAGCCGGATACAGGTATGTGGCTTTTAAATATTTATTATCTATAGTCCCCGGCAAAGCGCAAAAAAACAAAAATCGAGCCATAGTTCGTGGCATAGATGCCAAACATTCAAATCCATAGATAACTTTTAAAAATACCTATAACCTGTAAGAAGTCCTTTTGGTTTTTGCATTAATATTCATATATTGTTTCGCCTTTCTTCCATTGGGGTAGGTAGAGACAATAGAATGCTAAGTGCCGCGACTTTGGCATACCTCTTTCGCTTACACCTACGTTCATCAGAATCTTTATGCTTTCTTGTTTATTGAGAGCCTTTGACAGCATAAATGACCTTATTTACTTACGGTCCGCCTCGTTGGTAGAGTAGTTGTAGGTGCGGCTGTCCATCAAAGGGTCTTTTGGCCTCGATTCTCAGGTAATAAAGTATATAGTATTATATATTGGGATTTCAGTAATAGTACGGAGTCTAGAATTGATCTCGGTATACAACAATAGATGGGATATAACATGATTTCTTCCTTGCATTATTATAACTAGTGAGATAAAAAAATATGTTTAACAGATTATTGCCGTATTCGGATACATTTAATGATTACTTAAACTATTCCTTTCTTACGATTCAGTTCTGAAAACAATTGCTAAGTTTGTGCGGATTGGGTTAATGCGGAAGATCTAACGGGTTACCGGGGCTCCGGCTCGACGTGCAGGAGTAGGAACGGGGTGGTTTTTAGTCAGTAAGAGTCTGACACTCCCTCCCGCCTCACCCAGGCACGAGTTCAGTGAATGATTGTCCCCCTTCAAAAAAAGGAAGTGGGTTTTTTAACCATTTAATGACTCTAAGTAAGACAGTTACTCATCTAACTATTAGCTCGACTAGTTACAAACCACGCTACGCTCTATATGATATTGACGATCTACTTTGTTAGATTAATATAGAATTGTCGCTATGTATCATGTTTATCCATATGCCACATTCGTCTCATTCAGTTTAGCCATTATCTAACGCTAATTATCTTATTTCGGGGATCGAACCCGTATCTAGTAGTTGCGCTTATGGCTACTAGAGGTACATTTGCTTGTTTGAGAGCTACGAAACATTGTCTTCGTCAGGAAAATTATGATTATTTAATATTACATTAAGTAATCGTTGGCCGAGTGGTCGCAAGTGCGACTGCCGGGCAAGGGGTCTCGGGTTCGGTTCCCGGGTCGGGCAAAGTATTACTGGGGTTTTAAAACATTCTCAGTAGTAGCACGGAGTCTGGAACTGTGCCCGGTATATGGCAATAGGCTCACCCCTCTACACGGGACTCATAACATAAATAGTGAAATGTGGGTGTTACATTGTACAGTGGCATAATGTGCACCTCTGCCTACCCATTCGGGGATAAAAGGCGTGATTTATGTATGTATGTAATAGTTACATTATTCATCATTTGTGTAATTCATAACTATATCTTTTCCGCCCCGATGCTCGGACCTAGAGCGTCACATGTTTATCTGACAAGTATACAATATTTTTTGCAAGTGAATCATCGGAAATGTCTCTAATAGAAACACTCATTGTATTGACTTTGGTAAAATACAAAATATTAAATTCCGAAGTAGTTCGCAACACTTTAAATAATTTACCTGCACCGGCTTTTAGTTGCGGCTGTTCTATAATAAATAATTAAAACTATAAAGCGTAATATCGCAGAGAAAGTGACAAGTGACCTTGTAAACTGGTCAGGTCAAGTTGTGAATGTTTTTGTGATACATATTACTTGATAACTCGGTAATTGTTCTAACGTGGCCACTTCGTGTCCCTGACTCACTTGCTGACATCATTCAATCGTAAAATAATAAAAATACTCTACTGTCACAATTGATCTCTGCTTTTATGTCATCGAACTATTTTATTTGTTTATCAATGAATTCTCCTTCCATGTATTATGTTAAAATTTGTTTAAAGTTTAAAGTTCACAGGGAAACGAAACAAAAACACGATTTAAAATAATATTTTGTATTATTTTATTTCAAATTCTTTGTTTAAAAAATACAATACAAAATCACATTGATTCGTCGTCAATTTATTTTAAATAACAATTTATACAATTAACAATTGCTGCCATTATTACATGTAATAACAATGCCACAATCATCGACACACGTATCACATCATTCCTTATAGTTCGTTGAATACTGACATAAATAAATTAACTATCATTATGCATGCACCACAGTCTCTTAGAAAATAATTTAATAAATAACGTATCAAAAGTATAGCGTCCATGTTTCACAATATCGCTGCTGAGAACAAATCTCACATAAAGCTAACGTAAAACTCGCTGTTTAAATATTATGGCAACGCGGGCCATCCCGCTAGAGTCTCGTATCTTACACTACTTAGGACACTTTAACATCACATTTGCGCTTTTATTTACACGGCACGTCGCGAGCGACGCTGACAGTTCAGACTAGAGCTTTGGTTTCACCGGCCGTAGCCCGGCGCGCGGTACCGGTCCCGCGCGGCCTGCGCCGCCTGCGGCGTCAGGAAGTACACGTGCGCGCCCTCGCCCGGCAGACGGTACGACACGAAGGACCCGGGCCGGCCCTCGCCCGCCGTGTTCACGGGGCCGATCCACTCTGCGTCGGGGTTCACCGCCGGCAGCGGCCGCTTGTAGTTGACAGCCGTATCGCCCGCTAGCGAGGGCCTATTTAAGTCGTACTGCTCGCCTGTGAACTGAGGCCTCTGCACCTGCGTCGGCGCTCTGTACTGCTGTGCTGTCCTGTAGCCGGGGTTCGCGATGGGAATAAACTCGCTGTCTGGGTTTATCGTTGGTCGTGGGAAACGATCATTGACTAACGTATCGTCTGCTAGTGAGGCTGGCTTCTGCTGCACTAGTTCAGCGTTAACTTCCGGGACTGGTTCACTCTCTGGATTGACTGTGGGTCTCGGCAGTCGGTAGTTGACGAGAGTATCCCTGTCCAAAGACGGCGGGTTAGGGCTCTGGTTTTCCACTAACTCGTACGCATACTGGAGGTTTATATTGTTATTGATCGGTGTCCTGACCGTGTCGAGCGGAGCTGTCACCGCTAATCCGTTTACATCGTGTGTGTTGTCTTCTAGTTTCTTACCGAAAACATCGAACGAGTTCTTTGTTATATCATCGAAGTAAGTCTCGTCCTGTTTCGTGTAATATCCTTGGCTAATCGGGTTTGGCGTAGTGTTTGGATACCTAGTTACATGCCGAACATTCGCGGGCTGATCGCCTTGCATCTGAGCTTGGTTACGGTTTTTATTATCTTTCGAGAAAGAAGCATCTTCGTAGTCATCGTCTTGTGTTTTTGTGGTGGGATAGTATCGGCTAGATGTGGGCGATTCTGTCGTCACCTGCACGTTTTCCACCAAATATTGTTGGTACCCAGGTGATACTGACGGCGTTATAGCGTTGAAATCATTGGCTAGATTAAAAGGTTTACTGTAGCTGACCATGGGCCTGAATGGTTCAGGATCCAATTTAGGTGCCCGGAAGGGCAGTTGTTCAGGTCTTGGTTGGGATTGGTAGCTAAACTGATATACTGGCCTTCCTGTAATAGCTTTAGGCTTGTGTGTGTGCGGCCTGTGAGAGTGTGCTTTGGGTCTCTTCGTCGTAAAGAAATCAATAGTTTGTTGTATGTCAGCAATCTGTTGGTAGAAAGCATCAGGCCTCTGTTTCTGCTGCTGCACGTAGACAGGCTGTGGTCTCGGTTTCTGTATGCTGAAATATTCCTGTGTGAGAGTGCGTGGACCGTGCTTCTGTGGCCAAAGGAATAATGCATCAGCTTGGTCAATGGCTCCGTATGAAATATCCACTGCTGGGTTGAAGCCAGTTTGTGTATTGATATTCTGCTGTTGAGGGTAAGGAGTTGGATTGACTGGCACTGTCTTGTAATAATTTCTGCCGTCGAAATATGTGGCTGGTGAAGGCGTCGTTTTTGGCTGTTCATCGTAGAAGTAAAACGAGGCGAACGCATTTTCGGTTGGTTTCCTGTTATTATAGACAGGTTGCAGTTTAGTAGTGGGCACATCGTTTTGTACATTCGAGTAATGAGCTCTCAGTGGTATTTGTGTAGAGGATATCTCGTTTGTAGTCACAGCTGGTGTTCTCTGTGGTACGTCATATAGAACGTACGGTTTCTCAGATGTCGTCGGCACTTTGTTGTCGTAAACAGGCTCTGGATAGTCGTAAATAACAGAGACAGAGAGAGGTTTCGATGTAACCTTGGTTCGTGTTTTATAAATAGGTTTCTCGGTTTTCGTCCTCGTTGTGTGTTCATCTGGCAAGTTTTGAATCCTTACCGGATGTCTCGACGGTATACGCTGTGGTTTCCTCGTTTTCAAAGTTGTGATTATATCGACTGGTGGAGTCGTAATTGTTGATGGTATTTCAGTTGTCCTTGGCGCTTCGGTTGTTGTGGTAGGTCGCGTCTTGTACTTAGTACGTTGCACCGTGTGCGTCGTAGGCGGTCTCGTAGTAGTCTTTATCCTTGTGTATGTATTCACTGTAGTTGGTCTAGCAGTGGTAGTCTTAACAGTTTCTGTCGTATTCTCCTCCAATGGAGCGAAAAAGTCCGGTGGAGGTGGCAGTACTATTCCAGGTACTAGTGGGCCAGCAGGCACTTTATTGTTGTAGTCAGCGCGGTAGGAAAAATTGTAGGGCGGCGGATAATAAATCGAAGGGTCGTCTTCGTCGTAAAGGTCTGTTTGGTTGCTCGGTGGTGGTAGAAACACTGCGCCCGGTGGGAAGCCTTCTGGAAAAGAGCCATTCATGGACGGGGGGAAGGGGAATGCTCCTTCGCTCGCATTCCCGGGTAGGAATGGGAACGGAGGACCTGGCTGCGGCGCTCCCCCGGAAGTAGTGTTTCCCTGATAATCACTCGCGGGGTAGGGCGCTCCCGATGGAAATAGGAATGGCGTAGGAGGAAGAGGGCCTTCGCCTTCTCCTGTAAAGAAGGAAGGGAAAAGGGACGCAGGGACACTGCCGTTTGGCGT